GCAATATTTGCATTTCTGAACAAAATATCTTTCAGTAAGCTTCGCTCTTTATTTCCCAAATGATATTCATAATCAATTAAATACCCCGGTTCGATATGAAGTAATTCATTTCTTTAGGTCAAACATTGACTCGTATTCTGGCTATAGGTTAAACATATTTCGCTGTTAAACATTTTTGCCTTTCTGGCATTCTACGGACAGACCCCGCAATTTTTGCCTTGTAAGCTTTAACCGTCCCAGATACCAAACCTAACCTGTCCAACATAATATCTGGGTTCCCAACAGTTTTGGGGGCCTTTGCCCATGTCTGTGTCTCCTTGCTGACGCCGACAATTTCGACCACAACTATGTAGAGCTCGTAATAATAATAAAAAAGATCGGGCAAGTCTCTTTGTATGCACGCTCATTTGTTTTTCTTTTTTTTTTTGTTCACATAAAACTACGGTCCGCTGTTGTCGCCCCTATATAAATATATATATATATATATTTGTGTGTGTGTGGAGCATGCATTTATTTCGAGTGTCAAGTTCAAGGAAATTGCAGAGCTGTCGTTTTGCAAACGTGTTAATGCAACAGAAATTTCCATTTGGTTGCATTTGGAATTTTGTTGGGCAATTGATTGAATGAACTTGTCCAGGTATCACTTTTGCGTGAGAAACAATAGCCTTGACCGACCAGGTCGACCATCGACCAGGTTGATAAATCATATTACTAACCACATATTGGGTCGTCGACAAGAAATTTTAGCCCATAAACTTGTCTTTATAGCGAAACGAGTGTAAACTGAGTGAGCATTTCTCTTACATGGAAATCTAATAAGACATATGCATATACAAAAGATATATATACACTATTTTTATACTTTTTAAGATCTCATGTCGGAAAACATATTCAAACACATTGAAAATATAAAACTTAAATAATTGCGAAAAAAGCTGCTTCTGAACAAGTGTTAAATACTTGTGTTAAAAACTAGTGTTAAAAACGAGTTTTGAACATGAGTGTAGGAAAACGAATGTTAGAAAACCAGTATTAGAAAACAAGTGTTAGAAAAAGTGGACTTTAAAACGAGTGTGGGAAAGCCAGAGCTTTAAGCTGAGTGTTATATAAAGCCAGTGTTAGTAAAGTAGCGTTCGAAAACGTGTGCTTTAAGACGAGTGTTAACAAATTAGTGCTAGAAAACGTAGGTTAGAAAACGCGTGCTCTAAAACGAGTGTTAGAAAACTAGTATTAGAAAACGTGTGCTTTTAAACGAGTGTTAGCAAACGTGTTGGAAAACGAGAACTTTAAATTGAATGTTATAGAGCAAGTGTTGGTAAAGTAGGGAAGTGCTTTAAGACGAGTGTTAACAAATTACTGTTAGAAAACGTACGTTAGATAACGTGTGCTCTAAAGCGAGTGTTAGAAATCGAGTGTTGGAAAACGAGTGTTATAGAACAAGTGTTAGTAAAGTAGCGTTTGAAAACGTGTGCTTTTAAATGAGTGCTAACAAATTAGTGTTAGAAAACGTGTTAGAAAACGAGTCCCAAATAAGCCTTCTTTGCACAAACTCTCAGATATTTTTGAATAGCTCTAGATATCTGGCACATTTTTGTTATTACACTTACTAACTTGAATATATCTGGGCTTCGATTTATATATCTTTTAAGCGAAACAAGCTAAAAAGATCATTTTATTATAATATGATAATTTCATTTGCCCATCTCCATGTGAAATATATCTAACTGGAAGAAGAATTGTGCTCAATTTCTCATCATTATAAATAGTTTTAGGCACAGAATTGTTTTTTTCGCGGGTCACTTTCAAAATGTGTTTATCGAGCTGCATTTTTCTCGTACATATTCCAGATATTGAGTGCAATTGCTTTACGGGTTAACTATGCCACACCCACACACACACCCACACACACACACACGCACACGCACAACATACACCTGCCACATGCACTGTGAATTTTATTTTTGATCTTCGTCTGCGTTTTCTCGTCTTATTTCAGCTTCGTTTTTTTTTCTTCCATTTTATTATTTTCTGGCTTACCACACGGCGTAGTTCTTCTTCTTCTTTTTTCAAAATATTGTTGGATAGTTTTTTTTTAATTTGAATTTGAATTGTTTATGTTTAACGTTCCGATTTCGTGATTTACACGTCATGTGCATATTTTGTTAGCAGATGGTTTGATCTCGATTTCTCGGAACTCCCCGCTTTAGTTGGATGCGTTTCTGATTGGCTTTGAACTGTTCTGATTGGAAAGGCGTTGAGTGCAGCAGCCAAATTGCACACAATTATTTATTGGCATTTCAAATAGTTTTCATTTAGATGGTAAATTTTTGCAGGCACGAACATTTGACACTAATTTGCCAAACATTAAACTCAATTTTTTTGTACAAAATTTTTCTGCTATTTTTTTTTGGAAACATGCGTGCAACATGTGTGCGGTTTATTTGTTGGGTTCTTGCCTTTTGTATTTTGTGTTTCATCTTCAAGTGAAAAACATGGTCCATAAATTGTTTGATTTGACTTGAACTAAACGCAAATTATGTCAATTCTATAAATAAACGCATGCTAAACAAATTAAGGATGTTTATAACGTTCATTTTTACGGTACAGATGTCGCCAAGCCAATTGCCAATTTTGGCCTGGATAGGCCAATTGCAAAATATTTGCCATATGCATGCGGAACATGTTTCGGTCAGCCAAGATATTAACGAGCAATGCGTTTGTTTAATGTGCACTTCGAGTGCCTGGAGGTCGAAGGCATCACAAAATAGGTTTATGTGCTCCGCAATTCGAGGAACATAACAACTGCAGCATGACTTTAATGTACTCGATGAATCAAACTACAAATAATAGCTGCCCGATTGAGTTCTTGAATATATCATGTTATTCAAATACTTTACTTTCGATTTGAACAAAAAGTTGGAGGCAGGTTTGAATTTTGAGATTGGGCTTACTTGGTGCCAGACAGATATTTTGAAATATATTGATAAAAATAGTAATGAAACGAAGTGATCTTGGATTAGTTGAACTTTAATTTGTTCAATATTTGAATGAATGCATATTTAAAATTCAAATTTTTAGAGGTATACATGAAATTCGAATGATTATTATTAATATTATTGGTACTATTATTGTCATTGTCATTAGTGTGATCATTACTATAATTATTAGCATTATTTTTATTATTATTTTTTATTATTATTATTATTATTATTTATTATTATTATTATTATTATTATTATTATTATTATTATTATTATTATTATTATTATTATTATTATTACTATTATTATTATTATTTTTATTATTATTATTATCATTATTACTATTATTATTATTGTTATTATTATTATTATTACTATTATTATTATTATTATTATTATTATTATTATTATTATTATTCTAATTTTTCTTATAATTGTCAGTAATTTGATTGCTATTATCAATATTAATATTGTCAGTTTATTATTAATATTTTTATTACTATTATTATTATCATTATTATTATTCATTGTTCTTATTCTTTATTCTTTCTATTATCATTCTTTTTATTATTATCATTACACCTAATATTCCTTTTATTAGAGTGATTAGTATTACTAATTATTAATAATATTATTAATGGTATTATCATTGTTATTGTTATTTTTTTTTCGATTTATTATTATTCATTATATTCATATTCTTTAATTTTTTGTTTAAGAACCTAAGCCCTAAGATTCTCACCCTCAACTGCAGCTGACTGTACTTAGATATCATATCTTATGAGCTCGTCATCTTTTACTTTGGGCAACTGTATTCTGGATAGTTTTCGAACATGACCCAAAGCAATTTAACCGAATCATAAATCTTATGTTGAGTTTTATATATTTTGTTTTGTGCAAAATTAATTTTTGAATGTTATTTGTATTGGGAATTGTGTTTTGGTAGCTGCGTCGGGCTACATACTTATTTACACTGAGCGCATCAATGACCGTGTTCTATGCGGCCCCTCCACACTTGAACCCGGGCCCTGCCCCGGGCCGGGGCAGCTGCTGTTGCAAGTGTGGACTGGGCAACAATGGAACATGGCAACAATATATATATATATATATATATGTAGAAGATTATCTCATTGCAAACGGAAATTGTGCAATTAAAGCAAACATTTAATTTTCGCTCTGCTCCGTCTTGTGCCGCACTTGCCGCACTTGCCACACGCATCTTGGCGGCATGCACCCGCTTATTGTTATGACTAATGGCTAAATTGGGAAGGAATAACTAACGTGCATCGGGCATAGAATGCCAGAGACCATTAAGTGTGCGATTTCGTCGGATCAGTTACACGCGCTGCTCCTAATTGAAGACTGCAACTAAAAATAGTTGCACAAACAATTAACTATGCCCCATTAACTATGCATATCCTTGAGATTCTTGCAGCATTACGATATGTTTTCCAAATTGTTTTAAACAGTTCGGACTGGAAACAAGAGTTTTTATGCTGTGGCATAACTTTTCACAAAGTTCTGGTTCAGCCTAAGCTCATATTTTCTATATTTTAGAAGTAGAATCACATGAAAGTTGGAACCTTTTTGAGTATATGCCCGATTCAAGCTACTCAGACTAATGTTTTTATAATGTATCAAAATTCGGACTTTCAGAAACAGATTCATGCTGATCAAGAATATACATGGGCTCCTTTCGACAACATTTAAATACCCTCTCCAAGGGAATAAACAATATTATGCTCCACTCCAGATCTGTCATTCTCACTTAAACGAAGAGCACTCCGTTTCTTCTAAGGAAAACCTCAATAGTATTGAATTTGGAATTGGGACATTCGGTTCACATCAGTTGACATGCTGCTAGGTCTGCAAATCTGTGGAACTCAATTGAGAATGATGGCCCGCTAATCAATGGCAATCGAGGCTCGTTCTCTTTTTGCGCGAAATTCAATTAGTTGTAGATCGTGTGGCATATAGATGGAAATCGTCTAAATATATTAATTGATGGTCTAATTTCAGGAATGCAACACAACGCTGTGCGACTGCAAGGGCATCAAGGGACGCATGGGCGATCTTGGCTTGAAGGGCGTGCCCGGACGTGAGGGCGCGCCCGGCGATATGGGTCCGTTTGGACCGCCCGGACGTTTCGGCGAGAAGGGTGATTTCGGCGAATACGGCGAACAGGGCGAAAAGGGACATCGGGTAAGTTCCAGTGCACAATTCCTCATACGCCTAATACGAGCGATTCCTTTCGATTGACAGGGTGATGCTGGACCGCAGGGCGAGACTGGTTTTCCGGGCGCACGCGTAAGTATTCCCGAAGACTTTTAATTGTGCCATTTCGTTGCAATTCACACTTTGCAGGGCTTTCCCGGCGACGATGGCACTCCCGGACCGCGCGGCATCGATGGCTGCGACGGTCGTCCCGGTGCCCAGGGCGATGCAGGTAAGCCGGGTGAAAATGGTGCTCGTGGACCCATGGGCAAGCCCGGTTCCCCTGGCTCCCCTGGTGATGCCGGCGAGGGCGGCATCAACTCCAAGGGCACCAAGGGTAATCGCGGTGAGCTCGGACCAGATGGCACCGATGGTCAGCCGGGTTTTGGCGGCGCAACCGGACACAAGGGCGACATTGGCTTCGCCGGCATTGAGGGCAGAAAGGGCGAACAGGGTCCTCAGGGCTACAAGGGTGAAATGGGCGTGCCTGAGAGCTATCCCATGCTGCAGGGCGTCATGGGCGACAAGGGTGAGCCCGGCGAGGGTGAACCCGGTGCTCTGCGCTACGATGAAACCCTGAAGGGCTACAAAGGCTATGCTGGGCCACGTGGTGAGCGCGGACCACCCGGCATATTCGGCGAGCCGGGACAATTTGGACGCGATGGCTTGCCAGGCATCCGAGGCGACCACGGCGAGCGCGGCGACCGTGGCAAGCCCGGTCGTGATGGTCCCCAAGGCGGACCCGGCGATAAGGGCGTTAAAGGCGCTCCGGGCTACAATGGTGACGATGGTGAAGACGGCCGGCCGGGTGAGCGCGGCGAGGACGGCTTCGATGGCATGCCTGGTATTCAGGGTCCCGTCGGACCACCCGGTATTTACGACCCCACCTTGGATAGGTCGCTGCCCGGTCCGATTGGACCGCAGGGTGACATCGGACCCGTTGGAAACCCCGGCTTGAATGGCATTCCCGGCAAGCAAGGACGTCGCGGCCCTCAGGGTCCGCCAGGCCCGCCTGGAGATGAAGGTCTCAGTGGCAACCGTGGTCCACCCGGACGCAGCGAGAAAGGCGAGGAGGGTGACTACGGCCTGATGGGTCCACCCGGCCCACAAGGTGCACCCGGCGTGGCTGGTCCTCCGGGTCGTACTGGCTACCAAGGCAGCCCAGGCCTCAACCTGTACGGACCAAAAGGTCAAGCTGGCCAAAACGGAATTCCCGGCGTCGATGGCTATCGTGGCGATCGTGGAGATGTCGGCTTGCCCGGTGACAAGGGCTTGCCAGGTGAAGGTTTGAACATTGTTGGACCACCCGGCTCTCAGGGTCCGCCCGGAAGACGTGGCAGACCCGGTATTGACGGTCGTCCCGGCCTGCGAGGATTCCCCGGTGACAAGGGTATACGAGGCGATGACTGTGGCGTCTGCCATGCCGGACCGCGTGGCCTCAAGGGCCTCATGGGCGATGCTGGCTATCCGGGCGAGCACGGTGCACGCGGCATGAGCGGCATCACTGGCGCACGCGGACCCAAGGGTATCAGGGGTAAGCCTGGCTTGCGAGGATTTAAGGGCATGAAGGGCTCAGCCGGTATTCCCGGTGAGGTGGGTCGCCCCGGCAAGCAAGGTCCACCCGGCAAAATCGAGTACAGCGGCAGCCAAAAGGTGACGGAAAAAGGCGACGATGGCGACAATGGACGACGCGGCGAACAAGGTGCCCAGGGTGACAGGGGCGAGGATGGATGGAACGGCATAAGCGGAGCCAAGGGTGAACCGGGTCTTCGTGGAGACTTCGGTGACGCGGGCCGACCCGGCTTAGACGGTGCACCAGGTATCAATGGCCGCGACGGTAAACCAGGTGCTCCACCAACCACACCCAAGTTCTATTTAACCGGTGAGCCCGGCTACAATGGCAAAAAGTAAGTTACTTTCTTGAATAATCACTGGCGTAACTCTTAACTGTGACATGCCTTCTATTCTAGGGGCGCTCCTGGTGATGTGGGCAGTGTCGGTCTTAAGGGTGACAAGGGTGAGCCACATCCCGGCGAAATAATTGAGAACCGTGGCGAGCCTGGAGATGTTGGCTATCCCGGCGAGCCTGGCTTCCGCGGACCAAAGGGCGAGGCTGGCGAGCCCGGCCTTAAAGGCATAATGGGCGATATGGGCATTCCCGGCGAAGTCTTCGTGGGACCACCTGGAGCCAAGGGCTATAAGGGCGAGAATGGCGACTATGGACTACATGGCCTGCCTGGTAAGCCTGGTAGAGACGGTGAGCCCGGCCTGCCTGGCGTGACCGGCGCCAAAGGATTCCGTGGTGAGCCTGGCCAATATATTCTGCCTGGAGAGATCGGCGTATCTGGCCGACCAGGTATCAAGGGCATAATTGGTGACGAGGGACCAATCGGCTATCCCGGTCCCAGGGGCCGACCCGGACCGAAGGGAAGCAAGGGCGTGACAGGTGATGACGGTTTGATGGGCCTGAAAGGTCTGCCTGGCAACAAGGGACAGCGTGGCGACATTGTGGTTGGACCTCCTGGCCGACAGGGTGAGCCTGGTCGCTCGGGCAGCGTGGCCCTGCACGGTGTTAAGGGCCAAAAGGGTGAGGTCGGCTACCCCGGACAATTCGGCCAGAATGGCGCCAAAGGCAGCATTGGATACCCAGGACGCGCCGGACGAGTTGGCGATCCAGGTCCAGCTGGCTACCCCGGCGAACCGGGTCCCTCTGGTCTGGCTGGCATTCCCGGCGAACAGGGTGATCGCGGCGACATTGGATTTGATGGACGAACTGGCGATCTGGGCCCTCGCGGCGCAGTCGGTGATTTTGGACTTAAAGGTTTATATTGTCTTCCCTTTCTCCATGCTCCTGAAAGGCTAAATGTCTGGTCTCTGCTTTATAGGTCTTACCGGAGACATCGGACCTTTCGGCTACCCCGGTGTGCCTGGCATGCCCGGCATCAAGGGCGAGCAAGGTGATCAGGGTGTGTCGGGACGTCGCGGTGCCAAGGGTGTGTCCGCCTACAGCGGCATCAAGGGTGATCAGGGTGATGCCGGCTGGCAGGGCCCACCTGGTTTCAATGGAGCACCCGGCTTCAAGGGTGAGCGTGGTGCACCAGGTGATTCACTGCCCGCTTCAGATGGTCTGCAGGGCTTTAAGGGCGAGGTTGGTGCGCCCGGTCGCAACGGATTACCCGGCTTGCATGGCTTGAAGGGAGCACGCGGAGAGATTGGATTCTTTGGCCAGCCTGGCATGATCGGTGATCAAGGCGATGATGGTGTCCCTGGTTACCCCGGTCGCCATGGTGCTGCCGGACTCAAGGGCGAAGCTGGTCAAGTCGGACCCATGGGCTCACCCGGTGATTTTGGAGATATCGGCGATGTTGGCTACCCAGGCGCCCCAGGATTACAGGGCGACGAAGGACTGCCTGGTGAATATGGTCCAAGCGGCAATACGGGTGAAACCGGCGAAAGGGGTGACATCGGTGATGTTGGTGAGGTCCTCTACCTGGGCAACATAGAAGATACCCGCGGTGAGACCGGAGATCATGGACTAGCAGGCGAGACAGGCCCGACGGGAGAGCCCGGCATGGTCGGTGCCGCTGGCTACCGTGGTGCACGTGGACAGCCCGGCGATATCGGGTTCGGTGGTCAGCCTGGATTTGATGGCCAGCCAGGACCTAAGGGCATACAGGGCGACAAGGGCTTGCGGGGCGTTCCCGGTGCAAGGCTCGTTGCCGAACGCGGTGACGAAGGTGACCAAGGCTATGATGGGCTTGCCGGACGTCCCGGTCGCTACGGCCAGAAGGGAGCACCCGGTGAACAGGGCGAATATGGACTAAACGGCGCGATCGGTCCCCAGGGTCCGGTGCGCATCGGTCCCGCCGGTCCACCCGGCGATTTTGGCTATCCCGGACCACCCGGACGCAATGGACTGCACGGCCTGACTGGACCAAAGGGCGAGCGCGGCAATACCGGCCGAAAGGGCGAACAGGGTGAAGCTGGCTTTGCCATCTGGGGCAGACAAGGTGACACAGGCGACCGAGGTGAGCAGGGTGCACTCGGCTATGATGGCGCCAAGGGCGAACAAGGCTTCAGCGGACGTCCAGGCCGCACCGGTTTCATTGGCCCGCGCGGACCACGCGGCCCAACTGGCGACGCCGGCTGGAGCGGTATCGACGGCGTCGACGGTCTGTCCGGCCAAAAGGGTGAAGCTGGTGTCACCTACTCCTACACGTATGCCCGTCCCGGCGATCGTGGCGAGCCCGGCCTGGATGGCTTCAAGGGTGAGCAGGGCGACATTGGTGCACCCGGTCTCCTGGGTGCCATCGGTCTGCGCGGCGTTGCCGGATATCGTGGTGATGCGGGCGAGATGGGCTACCAAGGTCCGGACGGCATTCAGGGCCAACGCGGCGACATGGGTGCAATTGGCTTGACTGGACGCGTCGGCGCTCAAGGCCAGACCGGTGCGCCGGGTGACCCGGCGCCACCGCCGCCGCCGCCCAAGAGCCGCGGCTTCATTTTTACCCGGCACTCGCAGTCCGTACAGATACCCGTCTGCCCGGCCAATACGAACATGCTGTGGGAGGGCTACTCGCTCTCCGGCAATGTAGCCAGCAGTCGCGCCGTCGGCCAAGATCTCGGCCAGTCCGGCTCCTGTCTGATGCGCTTCACCACGATGCCGTACATGTTCTGCGACTTCAACAACGTCTGCAACTATGCCCAGAACAACGACGACAGTTTGTGGCTGTCCACCGCGGAGCCCATGCCCATGTCCATGACGCCGATTCAGTCCAGAGACCTCATGAAGTACATTTCCCGGTAAGCACCGCCAGACTTCCACCAGACCTGTCCCTTGACCTATCCCAATAATCTATCTATGCCTGCAGCTGCGTCGTGTGCGAGACCTCAACTCGAGTCATTGCCCTGCACTCGCAGTCCATGTCCATACCCGACTGTCCTGGCGGCTGGGAGGAAATGTGGAGCGGCTACAGTTACTATATGGTGAGGATTTGTACTTGAGTTGGGTGAGAGACTAATCCCTATTGCTTGCTCGACACAGACTACCATGGATAACACGGGCGGCATTGGCCAAAATCTGGTCTCGCCCGGCTCCTGCTTGGAGGAGTTCCGTTCCAATCCCGTCATCGAGTGCCATGGCCATGGACGCTGCAATTACTACGATGCGCTGGCCTCCTTCTGGCTGGCCGTTATCGAGCAGCAGGATCAGTTTGTGCAGCCGCGCCAGCAAACGCTCAAGGCCGACCAAACCAGCAAGATTAGCAGGTAAGCGGATCTTCCGGCGCAGGGAACAAGGATCACACTACTATACTGCTTTCCTTGCAGATGCACTGTGTGTCGTCGTCGTGGCGACAGCTTCTTCACAGTCAAACGGACTTCCTCAACATACAGCTCCGGCTCCGGCTCCGGCTCGGGCTCGAGCTCTTGGTCGTCGTCGTCTTCGGCAGGAGCCAGAGCGCCAGCGCCTTCCCCCTACTCCAGCTGGTCGGGTGGCTATCCGAGCATCGATTACCGTACGGCACCGCAAATAGTACGTCAGCCGCAGCCGCAGCCACCGCCGGCCAACTACAACCGTCAGCCCAACTATCGGAACCCCTATCAATACGCCGGCACGCGCCAATATCGTCGGCGTCCGCGCGACGACACCTACGCTCCTTAGATGCACAGCTCCGTTTACGTACTAAGTAGCAGTTAAATAATAAATAATTAAGTCTAAGTCGCTAACACAAATAGAAACCCCTTCCCCCTCTCTATAAAGCCCCAAGATCTGTGTTTGGGATGCAATCTAATCTAATCTAATGTCGAAACAAAAGTGAGCAAAAATACCAACAAATAATATTTCTAGTGTAGAGCGAGGCGAGAGAACAACAACAACTTCCACTGTCATAATCCACTGCCCCCCCACCCCCCACACAACATGATGTAATCCAGCTCTTGAATTTTCCTCTAAAGGATTACAGCTTAACACAACACACAACGCGAAACAAAACCCAGTTTTTGATAAATAAAAATTTACACATCATAAAAGTAATGCCATCAATTTTGATTGTTTTATCTGATGTCAATTTTAATTTTAAACAATTTTAATTTTAATATTTTGATTAAAATTAATCAAAAAAGGGGTCTTCAAATGAATTAGGTAAATTATTTTCCAATTTCAGGGTAAACCTTTTATCAGCTTTACCTTGTCTGGAAGCTATTGAACTTTGAACTTTTACCTGGCAAATCAGGTCTAAGATTTCACAAAGAAACACATTTTGCACGCTTTGAATTTTGAAAAATTATATATTTATTAATTTTAACAAAAATATCCTATGCCCATTCATATACTTGCCGAAATTTAGAATCTAGTTTTTCTAATTTTTACGAAAATAATTCTAAACTGTTTTCAAAACTTTTATTAATTTTTACTTAGAGCGTGACATTTGAATCCTTTCTAGCGACTTCTCCTAGACTGCAAGCCTCCAGCCTTCCTACCTTAATTTGTGCTCCGAATTGATTGATTCTCATCACATTAATTTGCATTATTTATTCAAATAAACATGTTCGTTAAATGTATGGCAAATAATAATAGAATGCGAAAATAGTCAAATTTAAAAATAGATATTGATTACGCTGTGAATCAATCGCAAAAAGGATAGGCCCTCACATATATTTGCTATTAACAAGTATTTGTATTATTTGTTATAAACTATATGAAATAAGAGTGCATAGTTTGAAGTGTTCAATGACAAGTCAATTGGCCCGATGCCCGCCACAATTTGTGGCAACTGAAAGACATGCGAACATTATCATTATTTATACTATATATAGCTTGCTTGGGGCGAATTTGTGGGTGACACCGTTTAAGGATAAACAAGGATATACACATAAGTATTTACGTAACGCAGAGACAAAACAGTTTTAGTTAAATCTAAATATCCACGTGTGCAGCTTTCCAGTTTTCGTTTTAATATGTTTTTTTGTTTGTTTTAATGCTTCTGTTTTTTTTTGGTGTTCTTCTAGTTGTTCAGCAGTTGTCGGCGCCTCCGCTCGGTACTATTATTTAACAAAGTCGGGATTCTCCTGCACGTTCTCGGTGAACTGCAGCTGATTGTCGATTATTTGGAATAGGACCTCCGGCGCCGGAAAGCGTCCGGTTTGGATTTTCGACCAAACGGGCACATCGTTCAATGTTATCTCAAAGGCGCCCGACGAGATTAGCTGTCCCTCGATCATGTTGCCCAAAAAGAATATCATCATACAGGCATAGATCTTGTTGCCCTGCAGATGATTCCACCAGCCCGGCGTGTTCAGGCCCAGGCAGGTGAACGGACTCACAGATGTCACCACAGACACAATGATGATTATTTTCAGTGCGAATATCAGCTTGGACAGATAGTAATTCATGCCGGGCGGATCATAGTTGGCGCCATGAATCTGTATCTGTGGGTACTTCTCGCCCAGGATATTCACATAGTCCTCGAAGGCCTTGCGATAGCCGCACGAGTAACTGCGGCAAAAACAGGTACATAAGCAAATAGAAACATGACACATTATTGCGATAACGGCGGCAGCCACTAACTAATTTACACCTACCAATAAAGAAATGTCATCGTTGGCGCAACGCTCTGTCCAAATTTGGTGGCCGGTATTTCCTTGCCGCCCTCAATGGCCAGTGCATAGCAGGCGCACAGGCAGAGTACAAGCAATGCCAGATTTCTGCCATTTGTTGATTCCATTTTGATGGTTTATTTCGTTATAATTTCAGTCGCAAAACCAGCTGGGCAAAGAAATCGGCAGCAGCAAGCGAAAGAAATTTATCTTTATATCTTCTTCCAAAATTGCCATTCAGCGGTGTGTGTAAATTTATCGATATTTTGGTATGATGCATACAATATATTGCTATCGATATTCACGGACTAAGCTTACAACAATTTTCATATAAATAGACATATATAATATATATAGAGTTTCGAAATAAGCAACATGAACGCTGTTTACCTGATCGTAATACTTACTCTATTCAAAGCCTTTCCACAGCACTCTACGCCAATGACTTCGCTGAGAGTGTGAGGTATCGTCATGCAGACTGAACGTGTACGGCGCCGGCTGTGCCGAACAGCTGTTGTGACATAACCTGCGTCTATTCAAAATGCTGCGCCGTGTAAATAACAATAATGAAATTAAATAAATGTGTATTAAATATTGTATTTTAAACAATTGCAGATATTACCCGCGGCGCGACTGTCGCTGCAGCTGACAAAACCTGCAGTTACAGCAACCCGTTCGAGCAGCTACAGCGTCTATGAGCCGGACTACCTCGAGGTACTTATCAAATATAATTATAGTTATTTAATATTGTTACTCAATTGTATGCACATTTTAGTCACTCAAGCCCAAGTTCCCGCAATACGAGAGCCTTAATGTGCAAATCAAAGGCTACGATTATCCGCTGCTCGAGAGCTATCAACGTTTCCTGCACAGCGTGGCCGAGTATCTGGATCTGGATGTCTCCGATTGCTATGCTCTGCCCCCGCAGCAGACCCAAGTGCAACGGCTGCGGCCCAACTCCACGGTCATTGAGTCCGAGTACAAGCTGACCACCTACGAACGCAATCTGCAGCTGTGCAATGTGGATGCACCGATCTATCCGCAATTTCTGCGCATTGCACAAGCGGCGCTGCCCGAGGGCGTTCACCTGTCCGTTTCGGAGCACACGGATGAGCTTGAGGAGCGTCGCTATGTGCCTGACAGGGATCTGCTCGATCTGAAGGCGGAACTGGAGCGCATGGGCGGCGCCACACCCACAAAGAAAAAATAACAAAAACCATTGTCATTTGGCATATGGACAAACATTAAAAATCTAGTTTATTTTTATTATTGAATTAATCTGTATAGAGTAAAAAGTGAAGTGTCTAAAACAAACTTTCCTATTTAAAGCTTTGCGCTAACTGGACGGCAACGTTTACACATGGAAGACGCATCTCTAAGCTACATACACCTAAACTAATTGATTGCACTATGATATAAACTCTTAGACAACGCCAAAGTGCACCACTTTGATGGAGGACGATGAGCTGGGCGTTGTTTTGTTGCTGGACGCCGCCGCCGCCTCCTCCTCCCTGCGACGCGTTGGCGGCTTGCTAACATCTGCAGGGGAGGGAGAAGCATACATTAAGAGGGAGAAATTATATATATAGTCCCTTGCTACTCACTAGTTGTTATGGGATTGAAATCCTTTAAGTACTCATCGTTCGGATGGCAAAGCGGCAAACTATCAGCTAGTTCCTTTCGGGGATTGGTCAAATGACGCGCTGCTGGTCGGGAATAGCCATTACGCTTGGGCGGCATGGGCTTCTCTTTGCGCGGAATTTCCTGGCAAAGCAAACAAATCGTCGTCAAATGTGCGCAGTCAAATGTTGAAATGGCAAGACTTACCGGCACCACAGCCACCTGTATGGTGTCCGAGAATTTGACCTTATTCTTTTCGGCTGGCGCGGCTTTGACGCTGGGCGTCGCAGGCGTCTCTCCATTGAGCGGCGCTGCTGCAGCATTCGAGAGTATGGAAGCGGTGGGCTTTTTGAGCAGCAAACGCTTTTGATAATCCTCATTGCCGAGTGCTGGCAGCATGGCAGGTATGTTGCCCGAGACAAGTGGATGCTGATAGAACTTGGGCTGATGCGACAGAGCTGGTGCCATCTGCGGGCCTTGCTCCACAAAGGCTGCCGGCTGCAGACGTGCCACCGGACTGCTGGGCAGAGGCAGGCCCACTGTCTGATCCGGCACATCCTGTGACCAGCCATTGCCTGCAAAAGGAACTAAATTGTGGTAAGCTGTTATATTCAAAAGTACTTTTTGATGCCTACCATTTGAATTTGTATGCTTAACAGGTGCCTGGCTGCCACTTTTCTGGGCCAGCGCCACCAGCGAGGTTGTCGTGGAGGCGCTACTCAGCTTGGTTGTTCGCAGCTCCGGCAACGGAGGCCGCAGCTCCGGCTTGGGTATGTTAATCTTAATCATTTCGGCATTGAATATTTTGGACTTGAATGAGGGCAAGGGTGGCACATAGTTTTTCAGCGCCTGCTGGCTGGGCGTCGAGTAGCTGGACTGCGAGCAGGCGGAATCGGGGCGCAGTTCGCTGGCTAAGGTCAGGCTGAGATTGCCATCGGCATGATGCTCGCCATGGATGATGGCGGCGGCTTGACTAAATGCGGCCTGAGCAAATTCGCTCAAGCTGCCAATGCATTTGGTCAAATTGTAGAGGTCCATAAACAGATCGTAATCCGCAATGTCATGGGCAATCTCGAAGGCTTCGTTGAAGAGATTTTTGCTGTGAAAAGTAGAAACTTGGTTAAAAGGAACTAAATACAAACAAATCCCAAACCTACCGCAGCAGAAAGAAGCAAAAGCGTCGCTTAAGATCGTAAACCTGATCGCTAAACTCGTCCTTGGTATCCTCGGAGAGCGTGTGCGCAAAGGTTTTCAAAGCCCTGGCCATTAGATCGCATCGAGCACGTCGCTGATCCGCCGCAAAGAATATATAGTTGGCGATCTTGTGCAGCGTGATGAGGCACATGGCGCCATAGGTCTCCCAGTTGAGCGCTGCCAGCACATTGACCGCACGCTCTGGCTGCTGCAAGCGCAAATACTTGTCCGCAATAACGTCGGCCGTCAAGCCGGAGTTGTGTATATCGCCACGCATGCCGGCGCCGCCAAAGATGCGCATGCAGGCCAATGGTCCCTGCTCGTACAGCAGCAGCAGCAGGCAATCCGTTTGAGCGTAATTGTGCGAGAAGCTGCTCAGATCCGGCTTCCGGCTGAAGGCAATGCTCAGCAGCGTCGGCTGTGCGGCAAAGTAGTGCGACAAATCCAGCAGACTCAGCGGCGTGACGCTCTCGCTCAGCAGCTGATTGCCAATAGGCGCCAGCGCCAGATCGAAGCACTGCAGCACCGAGCGCTCATTGGCGACGCACAGCAGCGCCGAGTCGCAGTGCCAGGCGCATTGGGTGGGCACAATCTCGATTTGATTAACATATTTGGTTGTCTGCAGCACCAGATCGTGCAGGCAAATGTTGCGATCGATGCTGCCCAAAAAGAGCTTCTCCTGATCGGGACTGAACGCGAAGCAACAGATCTGCGTGCCCATGGCAATGGAGGTAATTGCGGTGCGCTGCATTTTGCCCGTGGCCAGCTCATAGGAGCAAATCTCTGCGCTGATGTCGCCCTTGCGCGAGACCTTCTGTTCCAGCGTGATGATCTGATTCTCCGAGCTGCGCAAAAAGTCCACGCACAACGGATCGTTCTCCGACCAGCAATAGGCAATCGATTCCAGCTGCAAGCTAAATGGAGTTTCAATTAATTGGTAGCAATCATTATTTACACATTTAATAGTTACGCTTTGATCTTGAAGATGTGTATGTTGGCACGATCCTGATCGCGTATGGTGGGTCGCCAGGGATAGACCTCGTTCTGTGAGGATTGTGTCCAGACCACAAACAGATCAAAGCTGCCATTTACAGTTAAATGGCGTGCCAGTTTACGCTCGAATGCTGCACCCGGTATGATAACATGAAATATACGCGGCTCCATGTTGGCAATCTTCTCCGGCCCCAGCGGTCGCAGGTTGGGCCGCTGCAAATGCACCACCGTCAGCTGGTTGGTATTGTAGGCCAAGACGATGTGGGAACGTGTAAAAAATGCTGCCAAGTAAGAGACAAAGTGCATAAACAAAACATGAAAGCGCGCGCGGGCACAGATTAATTAAAAATTACAATAATTGCATGTGGAATGTGCTGCTGCTGCTGTTGTTGTTGTTATTGCTTGTGGGAAAGTGGTGGAAACTGCGCGTCGTTAGAAATGCAAATTTCTCCAACAAATCAGCACACGCACAGCACAGCACGGCACGGCAAGGCACACACTCGAAGACTCGACTCACCATCGGTAATGAGCTCGGCGGCCAGTTTGCCAACCAGATACTTTTCAAAGACCATGCGCAATATGTCGCCCGTATAGATGTCGACACAGATGTGCGCAATGATGCCATTGTCGAAGAGCAGCAGCACCTGTGCCCCATCCTGCCACTCGGAGTGCACCAGTTTGTGTGTGCGCAGCAGATCCTCCAGTTTCTTTAGATTATCCTTCAGGCGTCCCGCCGCCTTGCGGCTGTTCTTTAGCACGGCCAGGCCATTGCGACGCTCGGTATAGTCGCGCTTGGCCTGGGCGGTCAGCTCCTGGGAGAGATCACGCTGGCGCTTATAGCGAAAGGCACCCAAATCGCTGCTCTTGATGCGCACCTCATCGCGCAGCGTTGTCCAGAAGTGCAGCTCGCTGAGCAGCATTGCGCCTTCAACGCATGGCCCCGATGCGAACGCAAATGTAAATGAGCATTGGAAACGGGGTGTGGGGCACAAATGGGTGTCAACGATTACGATGGCCAGGCGGACGGATTGGGGCCAAGCAAGTGGCGCATGCGCAACCCACGATACCAGCAATTAAGCACACACTTATTTACAACTACCAAATATTTTGCAGACTGCAAGTTTTAAATAGTTAAAGTTGATTTTTTTTTATTTTTGTTGGCAAAACTACGACGCACGCAAACGTAAACACTGAAAATTGGAGTTTTTAGTGCTGGCCGTGATGCGATCACTTGTTGCTTCGATAGATGTTATCGAATCGATCTTATCGAAACTGATATCGTTTTGCAGTGTGGCCGTATGTTAATCGAATGCAGTCCGCGGCGCCAAAGTTTGAAAACAGTTTGGTTGCCGCGGCTTCACAGGCTTGTTATTTCAAATGTATTTTGTGATAGATTGTACGTTGACGCACCCAGCTTAAAGTTTCTTGGTGTTCGGTAATCATCGCCATCTTTTTTTTTTGTAGTGGTCAACTTATAAATCCCAGTGAACGCCACACGCGTTGGACTATGTTCCACATTTGGCAGACATGGCGCCGATAAGATTAAAGCAAAAAACGAAACATAGTTAGCGTTTGACCATGTATTGGTTATAAACAGTGTTTATTTTTAAACAAAAAATTAGATTTATTGATTTCACCATTCAATTAGATTGTTATCAAATATTCACAGTACTTTTCTTTCGTTCTTTGCTCGTTATCAATTAAATACGATTAAGGCCACTATAAAATATATAGTGGCATTAGATTAATTACTAAATAAACAGCAACGTATCGTTAATATTTAATGAATAGATTAATGTTAACTAAAATATATATCGCATTTGAGAAAACTTAACACAACAATTACGTATACGCTGCGTGGTGCATACCGTTTCTCTACAAATTAATGAGAGTAATTACATAAGTATACATAGATATTTATATATGTATTTATATGGCGGCGTCGATTTGGACAATTTGGATTTGCGCGCCTAATGACTGCGACCGCAGGACTTGATAGCACATCCTGCGGCTGTAATTCCTACAGATTGTGCTTATTCAACTAAAAACTAGGAAGGCAACGTTTTAAATTATATTATAAGCAAAGGTTTCTCTTATATACACAATTTGCCGAGCGCACTTTTCTCACATTAATCTTTAACTATTATAATGTACATCATAAATATTTATTGGAAGTCTACTGAAACTCTATATACAAGTGAATATTATATCAAAATATCAAACACATGTTCTATATGCATTTTAAGTGTAAATATATATAACTTTAACTAATAAGCCTTTTCTTTAATTTTGATAACGTTTGCGAATCTTTCAATTTTCTTTTTTTCGCCTTGTTTCAATGTTGGTTTTCTTTTAGCAATATAGAACATAATTCGTGCGTTTAACGTTTTTCAATATTAACGTCTCAAGTCTCTCGAGTTCGTTGCCTTAGGAGCTAATTAACCAAGTGTTGCGCTCGTTGGTTAAATCGTCTAGAAAAAACCATATTTAAATTACAATTAGATTAAGTTGCAGCAGTCGCGTCTATATATGCACAGATTGGGTTTCCTCCTCGCTGTTAACTAGTCCGGGGGTATATAATAGGCGTGGCAATTTTGTGTTGTCCTCGTGTTGGTTCAAAAATCGTAAAACTCGTTCGATTTATTGTTAAAGCGTCGCGTCAACACATAAACAACCGCCTCATAGGTGGCCATCATAATTGCCGTATTGGGTATCTGTCGCACCAGTTGCGTGGCCAAGCCTCTGCGGATCGGGGTTAAAAGGGAGAAATCAATTAGTTAATACAAATATTTGCAGGCTCTCATATTTAAGTGCACAAGCACTTTCCACATATATATATATATATATATGTGCATGTCTCATCAAGCGTTGTCGAGTGATAATAAAATTAGTTGAGGCAAACAAAATGCGTCGCAGAAGACACTTCTATACTAGAATTAAAATATAGCTAAGCAAAATCGTGGGTGCTTCGTTATGATAACAAATTAGCAGCTAGAGAAAAGAATTCGATTTGCCAAAGCATTCGCTGCGAACATAAATCAAATGTATCTAGCGGGAATAAATATTGTATTTATATAAGAAACTAAATATTCAATTCTTAAAGTTAGTTTTTTATTAAGTAATGGATGGGCTATAGAAATAAGTTATATTTAATTCTGTTCTAGGGCCTGCCTCAACAGATTCTTGGCTCAAACTCAAACAAAACAATTAAATATTTAATTTACAAATGCCCCTTGTACTGAAAATATGGCAAGAAGTATATATTATCATATGCAAAATGCGGGCTAGATTCGGAGCTCAGCCCAAAATTGGCTTCTAACAAAAATGTTTAGTTAAAAGTCAATAATTGGGACCAAGGTTTTTCATACTTTGGAACTGGGTCTCCCTTAAAAGTGCTTTGTTTTCTTCAAAAGCAAATACAAATTTGTTGGGGAATAAATTAGTTAAGCGTTTCGACAGATCAAGTGTCAGATGGGATTTCTTTTTTTAGCTGATCTCAGAGCTCACATAAATAAAATCCCAATTTTGTATAGGGGAACTCTTTGGTAGAGCTTTACAAGCCAGACAAGATGAATAAACATATTGTGATTCCATATATATATATATATTATAATATATTGATATTGCATACCTGTAGAGTCCGGCGCGTCCTTCCTCCTTCCAGACCGTGTGCAACGTTTGCCAGAACGTGTTGTATTTGTTGCCCTCCTCACGCAGGCGCGTCCGTGCCACCTCGTGTGGATAGGCAATGCAGGAGGCAATCGTTTTAGAGACGGCGCCAGCCATCATGAACTCCAGGAAATCGCGTGAGCCCTTTGTGTCCGATTGCCGCTGATTGCGCTGCTCCAGCTGTGAAATGCAGAAGTTATGTTAAAAGGAGGTCTTTTTAAATGATGTTTGGGGGAGGCTCACCAGCTTGGACTTGATGAACTCGTAGATGACAAAGTGCACCATTGTCTCGCAGATGCCAAAGTAGCTGGCCGTGATGCCTTTGTAGAAAGCCTTAATGCCGCCCTGTGCGTACACACGCTCGATGCACTGCCGCACCGTCATCTGCACCTTGGAATTGTAATCGAGCTGCAGTCGCGTCTTGACAAACCAAATGGGATTCGTCGCCGTGGACGAGACAAAGCCGGCGCTGGCCGCGCTCATGATGTGCACCAGCGGCGAGTCGCGCTCAACGAAACTGAAAACGAAGACAATTAGAGTGGGAGAAATTGCAGAAAGATCCACATTTATACTTACCCCAAGCTGTTGAGCGAGTTTTTTGTTTGCGAGTAGGTGCAAAAGTAGATGGCACGCGATGGTGCCACGCCCACAAGATTTGGACCGAGACCTTTGAAGAGTGCGCGGGGACCTTCATTCTGGACAATGTATCTAGTTGAGGTTAAGAAATATAATACATATAGAATTGTAGAAGTGTGGGGAATAGTTCAAAAGTAGTACATTTACAATTCCAGTGTTGCAAAATGTGCCAAGCTGAACTAATACTAGTTCAATATTGAGCAAATAAGTGGTTCATTTTCAACTCCAACTTGAAAGCTACGCGCAGTTTAATCAAGTGATATTTCTAATTTCCAAATTAACTGAAGTTTGAGACAAGTTTTCAGAGTTCAACTGGAAAAACAGTTGTGGAAAATACAATAATATAGAGAATACCTCTATGGTGCAGCTCAAAGCACAATCGATAGCAAATTTATTATCGATAAATATTAAAGTGAATGTCAGCTTTAATTTAAGACAACTTACCGCAAGCACTGAACAATGCTCATGGACTTTGTGGTCGTCGATGAGATGCCGCAATGTGAAATGGCCATAATCTGGAAGTTTGAAAAGCATAAAGTCTGTCAGAATTTGTGTCTATCGATAAACGATAAAGCGATGTTTATGAAGTGTTTGACTCTTGATCTTGTTTTTTTAGAAAAATTAAGACAGACAATGACAATGACAATGAGAACAGATGATAGGCATTCAAATAATAATAATAAAAATTTGGTACTACCCTACGGACACCCCCAATCACCTGTGGCTGTGATCTGTTACGTAATATCGTTGTGCTTAGCTTACGTCGTTGTTCCGGCCGCAGCAGCTCGGAGGCGCCACCGTTCGCCGGCCCGCCAGCGGGCTCAACAATCCGCGTTGACGGCGGCAAAAATGCCGTCGAGCTCTGTAGACGCGTCTTGACCACCTCCAGGGGACATGTTACCACAGCGCCAACTGTGCCCGCCGATCTGTAAAGACACCAAGGCACGCACACACATAAATCACAAATAGGTTCTATAAATATGACTAAATGCGAGGAAAATATACGAAAAGTTTTCAAATACAGTGAGGACTTGACAGACGAACATCTGCCTAATTTATATATATATTTCTTTTCTCGCTTTTCTTTTCTTTAACAAACATCTTAATATGTTAAAAGTAAATTGGACAAGCACAAGTTTTTGATTTTCCAACACAACTGTCCACTCAAGCGAGCTTTTACTGTATTAGAAATTCTAACAAAGTGCTTGACGTTTCGCAATTTGTTGAAATGCGCGCAGCGGAAAAATAAAAACGTATTTGGCATTAGACCCTGAAGATAATTATTGTTTTTGGCTACACAATTTCGATTTTGAAATTGTTTCTCAATTATATTTATATCAGATGATCGATTTATGGTTTCCATATGAAATTCGTCGGAAATGCGAATGCACTTAAAATCGGACTGCAATTTGCAATGCAAAACTAACAAAATTTGTGACTCAGGATTGATTCTTTGTCTATCCTATGATATCATCTACTTATCGTTTCAATGTCTAGAAAACGCTGAAAAGGCGTAATTCAATTAGCCCAGGCCCCAGACCTTGCCTAATAAGTACCCCAGTAAATATTCTGAATAGAACCTTTTATAAACGAAGTAAGAAAACATTCTTATCTGAGAAATTAAACTCGTGACTCAAATTGAAACTTGTAAATTGGCGTTTGGCAACCACAAACAAAAAACGTGAGACATTTATTGTTTCATTATATAACCTTATTGTGTACTTAAGCAACAATCAATTCAATTAACAAGTCTTTATGTAAGAGTTCTCTCTGTGGGCAAGAAAGGAAAACGTTTCGCCTTGTTTGTCAGGCTCGTAAATTAAAACAACAAAGTGAAGCGAAAGTTTGATCGATGGAAAATGTCAACAACAAAGTTGGGAAAAACCAATTTTAATGAATCAACTTAAATGCATAAGCAGATAAATATATGATGTCGAAAATGGATAAACAATTTAATATTGAAATATAGTCGACGCTTTCATTTTGGAAAAGCTTTTATTTCTGGAAAATCTATTTATCTATCAATATCTATCTACTTATTCATATAAAACAAAAATTAATGCAATTCAAAATTGAAAGCTACTAAAAGTAAAAAAGAAATAAATTCTCGGAAGAACACAACGTTTATTACAAATATCGATTATACTTTGGAAAGTACTCTCTACCCATTGAAAATACTTAAAAGGGTATATTGGCTGTGTACAGGCAGCATCTATCCGTCTATCTAACCTCCTCTCCGTTCGTTTTCGATAGGCGATAACTGCCCTGTCTTCATGAAATCGATAAATATCGATATCGATAACCTGTTGTTTGGGATTTAAGAACTCGAGTCACCATAGGGATCAAGTATCTTTCATTTTATACCTGCATTTGGTATTGGTAGAAGACTTAGGGTATTCCCCAGTCGCACACTTCCAACTTGGATAGCCACATGCCTCACAAAATCACGCGATATCTGCCGCTCAGGTTTTCTTTATATATCGTAGCTCTATGATAGTGTTGCCCCTCATTCTTATCGCATGTACTTTGTAAGTTCAGGCTTTGACAGCTTATCGGGCAAATCGGAGGCCCCTTTCATTAGCAGCAGCTGCTGCTGCCGACTGGAAACTAGTAACTAGTAAACAATTTCACAAATCTATTTGTGCTTGCAGCAGGGGCCAAACGAGAACCGGTTTTGTCCGGCTGCGAGCTGACCCCCGATTGATAACCTGAGCCCGACGAATGAATTGCCAATGACGGACAAAGCCGCGTGAGCTTATCAGCAGCAGGAGCAGAATCAGTAGTAGAAGCAGTCGCCGACAGGCCACGTTCTGATTTGACTTATGTTCCTCATACTATATGGAATACATATAAAAGTTAGCTGCAAACCTAATTCAGCTCTGGCGGCATGTGACATAATGAGGCTCTCGAGAAACCGGTAAAAAACAAAAAAAAAACACGCCAGACCTCGAACACGCCATCTGTTTAATTATAGACCGAGAAACTTGGGGAAGTAGGAGACCCTATTAGACACTCCGCATATTGAAGTCGGGCATATATCACAACAATGAGAACTATTGGACAAATTGAATCAACACATTAACGAGAAGACCTGAACACTCGCATATTGAATTTAATCATTAGCGCGAGGCAAGCCCATCAGACAGATGGACAAACAGATGACTGTACTATATATATATATATAATATATATAAACTCACAGACAAATCGGTAGAATGCAGCAAAATCATTGAAATGTGACAAATTACAAGCGCAGCGAAATTCAATTGTAATCAAATATGTTTACGAACATCTAAAGAGTCGATTGTTTATAATGATACGAAAATGAAATTAACATGAGCTGCATGCAATTATTTGTCAACAATTGTTTAAACAATAATAATGGCATATAATTTGCATGAAGAGCAAAAAGCTATTCAAACATTTTGAGCGCTATTTTCAATGGCTTTCATCTGAAATTCTGGCTCAGCACGAAAGCTAATAACTAATACAAACATTTATTTAAATATTAATATTATTCAAAATAAATGTATTTATTTTAATCTTTTTTTTATTAGAATTTTGAACAGAATATAGAACTAAGCGCATATTACAAACTGAAGGCCAAGCTTGACATTTTTCTAGTTTTATTTTCGTTTATTATTTATCAGCTCGAAACTATTTCGGGCACGTTTGGAACTCTATAAAATTAGCCTGCATATGATAATTAGAATAAATTAAACAAATATAGATTAACGATCTACACACAGCCAAAAAGTTAAGACCTAGGTTTTAATATAAAAAAAAACTTACATACATAAGAAAAAACAATATCTAATCGACTTTTGCTGCTGATCAAGAATAAATATACTTTAAGGGGTTCGGAAAGCCTTTCCTTTGTTTTCCCCTTTTACCCATTTTCAATGGAAAATGGAATTATTTATAGAAACAAACGGAATCTGCTTTTGGAAGATAATTTGTATCAATTCTTTGGACTTGCGATTTTGTAAAGTCTCGTGCCAGGTTATGTCTAATTGGAAATATATATTTAATGATCCAATTAGATTTCTGACAGCTAGGCACAAAGTTGCTTCACGCTAGTCATAGTTTTTTTTAAAGACAATTATATGCAATCAAATATTTGAACGATACGTTTATATAATATAGTTTTCAATTGTTATTCATTTGGTTCGTTTGTTGCATTTAGTTAAATTGGCGTACCCTTTAGACTAGATGCTATTTGGAAATATTTTACTACATGTAATTGTACAAGTATTTTGTGTGTATGTATGTGTGTGTGTGTCTGTGTGTGTGGGTGTGTGTGTGGGTGTGTGTGTGGGTGTGTGGGTGGGTGTGTGTGTGGGTGTGCATGTATGTATGTACATATGTATGCATGTATGTTTGTTTTCTAAGACCAAACGCAGTCCAAGCGTATTTCTCGCTGTCCTGCCAGTTTAAATTAAACGAATTTCTACCAAGTGCTCTACTCCTCGATTCTCAAAAATTCAAGTAGTCTCTGCTATTTTTCCTTGTTAGCTAGTAGTGTGGTGCTTTTTTTGGAGTTTTTTTTTGGAGTTTTTTTTTTGGTGTTTTTTTTTGGTGGTTTTTTTTTGGTGGTTTTTTTTTGTATGTGTGTATGTATGTATATCTCGATGTATGTACATACCTATATATGTGTATGTATATATGCATGCATGCATATGTATGCATGTATGTATGTATGCATGCATGCATGCACATGTATGTATGTATGTGTGTATGTATGTATATCTCGATGTATGTACATACATATATATGTGTATGTATATATGCATGCATGCATATGTATGCATGTATGTATGTATGCATGCATGCATGCATGCACATGTATGTATGTATGTATGCATGCATATATATGTATGTATGTATGTATGTATGCATGCATGCATATATATGTATGTATGTATGTATGTATGTATGCATGCACATGTATGTATGTATGTATGCATGCATGCATGCATATGTATGTATGAACGTATGCATATGTATGTATGCATGCATGTATACATGCATGCATGTTTGTATGCATGCATGCATGTTTGCATATATATAGACAAACATGCATTTATTTAAATACAAACATGTATACATTCATATATATGCAGACAACACACAAACATATATGCATGCATGCATATATTTATATATGCAAAAATGCATAAATGCATGTATATATGTGTACGTATGTACATATATGCGTACGTAATATACATATATATGTTTGTACATGTATGTACCTATGTATGTGTGCATGTATGTAGATATCCGAAAAGGTATTCATACATGCAAGCATGCATGCATGTTTAAAATAAATTCTGTTAAAGATCTTTGAAAATGAATATTAAGCCCATCGGATGGAAAAAGTATCAAACTTTTTCGCGATTTTTCCATACATGCGGGTGGAATTAGCCGGAAGCCCGTGTTAACGTGCACCTTCATCAAATAAGGCAGGGATGGACTATATATATCATGTAAATTATATCATATTTAATAACCCAAATATTAATAATCAACATATTGATCTCATTAATTCCAACTAACGCTCAGCCAAAGCTCATCACTGGATAAAACATATATATACTATATATCTTATATTATACAAGTATAAATGATCCAAAATTTGTCTGCCCATCATTGATTCCAACCAATGCTCATCCAAAGTTCAAGCGGAACACACTTAAAAGCACCTTCGATTCTTTATAATAGATATACAAAGTTGTATCCAACCCTCGTCTGTGAAATGCATTCGCATGCGGACATGTAGACCGCGGTATCTATGCCTCGAACTCAATGGCCTCTCGGCGCATATAATAAATAAAAAAAGAGCAACGGCAAAAACGAAGAAGAAGAAGACGAGTAACGGCAACCGGTTAATGGTCGATTTAGCTGTTTTTTGACTGAATCGCCTCGGAAATCGCAATACGCAACACACGCGCTCGCTCGAGATAAGAGTGGAAATTTTGGCAGACAGAAATGCAAACGAACCTCGCACCTCGCACCTCGCACAGGTGCTGCCACGATTCCTGTGAATGTTTTCTTTCGGAATTTCTGGTACTACTGCAGCGTTACGGTGCGTCATACCCCCGACATATACGTATATGTGTATATTATTTTTGTGATAAATGGCGCCGTTTGCTGGTGGCAAATCTTATCAGCGAATTCTTGACGTCGTCTACTTCATGCTTTTTGCGCGTTTTGTAGACAGTTTTTTTTCTTTCTATTTTTCTTCAAATTGCCAAATTGATGGAAAGTTTTTATAGGTCAAAGTGTAGCATGCGACATAGATAAAGAAACAGTTGCTCATAAAAAAGATAACTAAACTTGAGTAAAAACTATTTAAAAGTTGAGATTCATCTTAATCGCATTGAACTTGGCACGAGACCTTCTATGTTTATACATGCATATATGTTTGCATACTTATACTTTTCTATTCTAGAAGGTCCCATAAACAATCTGCACATATATACAAATTGTAAATAAAATAGTCGTCTGCCACACGGCGCATTTGTTTATTTAATGTGCCAAGTGGACTATATCTATGAGTTCTATATGAACGAGCTCTTCCCATGGCAATAGATATAAAACGTGCGCCCTTGACACAATTTCAAATCAACATTTTGAACTTGGTCCGGCCAGAAAATGGGCCAAAATAAAAGAAATATGTAAGCATATTTATCTTTAACATACGCATATTTCCCATAAGCCAAAACATATCAAAAACTTAAAGGGGGTTGAGAGCTGGAAAAACCTGAGAGAGAGAGAGCTTAAAAAAAAAAGGTGCGTACGTGCGTTCAGACATGCCACGATAATCCAAAACATTGTCCAACAAACAGGTAAATAACTTTTAGGCAAATCCAAATGCGAATCATTGAACAATCTGACTCTGGGCTTTAATTTGAATGAATTATTTGACATGCCCCGTCTAGACAAGATGCGATGCAACCTTTGCTGTCTATTAATATCCCCGTCCGATCTATTTATGCTTATATAACCGTGTGGCATTGTTGTTTGTTCCACGTCAATTGAACGCCCCCCCTCCCCTCCCCCTTTGCTGTTGTTTTGGTTGCAGTCGCCTTCAAATGAGTCAATGTGCCAGAAAGAGTTGTTTCCCCCCTTGACGAAAAAAAAATGCGGCGACTAAAATCAAAACAAAATACAAATCGAATGCCAGGCCGCATTTGTCTTTCGTGAAATTCATAAAATGAAAAGCAGAATTTGACAATAAATAGCAGCAGCAAAAACAACAACAACAAAAGATTGCTATAACTGTGCAGAGAGCTTGGCTTTGAAATACCCTGTAATAAGCAATATATCTAATAGGTGTGGGTACATTGGTTGGCAATCTATTTCGTTGCATAGCAATCACATTATTAGAATTTACTATAAACGAGAAAGAAGACCAATCTTTGGCATGTCGAATATTTAATACCCTTAACAGCCAGACAGAACCTTTTCATAATACTAATAGTGCTTTGCTCGTATCTAAGAAGCACAGGAAAAATAGTTATGGCTGACTATGAATAAGATATATTTATAAAGATCTAGAATATATATACCTTATGGGGTCGGAGATCCTATGTGTTATTTCTTTGGTAGATGTGGAAAATTCAATAAATGTTATAATTCTCTTCAGATAATATACATATGCTTATGCTTTTAATAAGATATTATCCCACAAAGTACATGTTTATACCCTTAATAAGTTACAGGATAATACCTACAATATATACCCTTACTGATGTCCATTTAACGTCAAGTTAAATATGAGTCCCAGACAGATGCCAAAACGAATAGACACATCTTGACTTATATTAATATTACAAATTGAACAAATCATGTAAGATTACGCTGGTCAAGACCGACTGGGAAATACCCTAAAGCTTCTTGTATGAAGAGTAGCTATAAAATGAAAGATACTTAATGTGTATAAACAACTCTGTGAACTAAATGTCAAATTTGGCGAGAAGCCTTTATAACTTGAATTTCGATATCGATTGTTATCGATTGCTTTGCAAAAAGCAACCCTTTTGCCCATTTTCAATGGGAGCAGGGTATGTGCAATTTGTCAACTCGAAAGGGCTTACTATATAGTATATTGTAAATGGATGCATGCCACAATTTTAGTTTACTTCATTTATATCGATCAACTGCGCATATACGTATATCTATATATACATATATATATATGTAGATGTGTTATCTAAGTGCCTCGTTAGCTTGAAGGTTGTTTTTTTCCAACCAGTCGAGCGATAGTAACGTGTGTAAACACGAGATACCGCTGAAATACTTGGGAATACTAGACAGTAGTACACATGGGTAGTTCTAACCAGGTGGTCGCACAGTTGTATAAGCAGCTCAGGTTGCTTGCATGGGCCAGGAGAGGGGGTTGGGTTGGGAATAGAAAATGCAACGTGAGTTGTTGCTTTGTTATTTTTGCCTAGTTTAAAGCTGTTTACACAGACTGCATATAGGTCTTGAAAATACATAGTGTACTCTATATAAGTACTACAGGTATATGCAGCCGGCCGGCAAATTGCATTTGACTTGTTTACCTGTGTTTACCTGTAAACGAGAATAGCTTTGAATTTTATAGTTATTTATTTAAATGATAATTTCACAACTAGTCTGGGTTTAACTTATCTGCATCTTATTGCATTTTCTTGCTGCTTACACTTAAATTATCAAGCGTCTTTTAATATTCTACACTCTCAATCCTTATTCTTTATTGTGAATCCTGCTCCTGTTTGTTATTGCTGCCTTATGTTTCAGGCTAAATGTGTTTATCAAAGAACGCTTACAAAATGCGCGGAAACAAGCCCTCCCAGTGTCTAATTTATTTGTATTTCACGCTACAAGAGGCTCGGCTCACACCGACCCCTTCTCTCTCCCTCTCTCTCGCGCACCCACACTAACCAAAACAAAAACAAATTTCATTTTACTTGCAATGCGAGCGGCATTGAATTTCGGTTACGCTACGAACACAGGCGCAAAACAGGTTGGGCCGAGCTTTTGCCAGCTGAATTTACAGTAAATAAAATGCCACAAAAACTGATAGGCCTCGTTTGCTGTGCTGTAGGGTGCGCGATAAAAACAAATATAAATTAAGATGCAGAGCTAAAAATAGCAGCCGCAACAATAACAACACAATTGAAGCTTGTTATTGGTGCCCTTTGTCAACACTGGCTCCCAAATGAAATACCAGCGCACATGATTGAAATGATTTATGTGAGTAAATCAAATTATACAACACTTAGCATATAGATTCATATTGGTGCTCTTCAATATTTAATATCATTATAAGGTTCATTGCTTTTGAACTTCCGCTCGCAAGTTACAAGAGAGAATTAGTGTGAGATAAATGACAAATGTTTTAGGTGAATGGCAAATACTCCAATCAAGGGCATGAAAGCCACGCGCGAGAAAGAGAGAGAGAGGGAGCTAGAGGGAGAGCGTGTGCTTTCTTGTTTTTGATTGTTTTGCTTTTTTGTGCGAATCTTTTTAATTGACGACTGCGCCTGTGACGTTTATTGTGAATTATTTCGCGCATCGTGGGACGCGCCGCAGCTGGCCCAAAAATAAACCAAACACGTGAACTATGCATGATTTCTACAGATGTTTGGCATGTGTGTGTGTGTGCGTATGTGTTTGTGTTGTTTTTGTTGTTTGCCAGCTTTGCCTTGCCGTCTATCTATATTTTCACTGTGTTTTTTATTTATTTTTGGCGCCACTGCCAACTTTCGCGCAACTGCAGCAGGTCAATTGTCTAATTGTTGTTGGGCAACTACTAAACGCAATTGCGCCGTTGCTGCTTCGCCCAAGATTCCAACTAAAACCGGTTTCTGCTTTGCAGAGATAAGGCGCAATAAGCAATAACAACAAACTACTACAATATTAACATAGATTTCAACACTTACGCGCCGGCTAGCAAATGTATCAGAGTATCACGATTTTGGGACATAATCGGGTTTTATCTTCCTTGCCCCAGCCGCAAAGTGGCTTTGTAAATGTGAAATTTAACTTGGTATAATTAACGCGCACTTCAAATCCCCGTTAACGAGCAGCGCATGTAGCTCGACGGCCTCTGAGCCGGCGGGGAGCGGGCTTGTATCCCGGCGGCAACGGCCGCTACACCGCAATGGAATTTTTTTTTGGTTTTCGCTCTTTGCTGTTTTGTTTTGCATAAGCAGCAATGATATTGTTGTTGTTGTTGTTGTTGCCTGCGGGCGTTCTTATTTTGGCGCTTACAATGGTCAGGGGTTATGCAACTATAACAAATTTCACGGGTTTCTTATCAAACACACAAAAGAATGTTGACAAAAATAGCGCACTGCGCGTCAACAATTAGCACTGTTACAAACAAATTGCACTTTAACGTTTATACTGGCCAAATTATGCGAAAATTTACGTTATACACGAAATTCATAAATATATTTGTGCTTTTATTTTTCGGCGAATTCAGCAATTGGAGCGAAGAGTACACGTCTGTTGCGTTGATTTCACAAAGTAGAACTGTAAGCGCTCGGGATGAGCGATGTTTAGATATGTGTTTAACAAGTCTAATCGATAGTTCAGACCGAAGCAGCTTATAGCTATCGATACTTTAATTTTGTTGTCGATACTTGCAATAGGATTGTATCAAATGTTTGGTCACACTTTAGTTAAAGGCGCACCAATTTTTCTTTTTGAAATGCCACAATGAAAATGTTGTTATAATAAGTACTCTGAATTTTTGTGTATTTTAGCTTAAGCTGGGCGCACTGCCTACCGTAGTTAGCAGCTGGAAGCGCGTCAGGTGTTGGTGAAAAATCTAACCTGATTGTTGAACTGTTACTGAACTGTTATTTATAATTATATATAATTCCAGTCGAATTTAAGAGAGGTAAATGTAGAAACAGGGTGGCAACGCTGGAATTTCGAATTTAAATTTGCGCGCGCATTCACGCGAACTAACCTCGAACTTAGCCCACTTTATTGAATTTTTGCAGCTGGCTGTTCGGTTTATATAAATATCTAATGCCTTAAATATTTAATGCATGCCCTTTTTTGTGGCCATAATGTCGCCGCTGTCGTTAAATAAACATGTCCCCAATTGCAAATGAAAATAACTTTAATTGTCAACTGGCATGTCAAGGTCAACATATTTGGTCGCCTGTCTTTGCCACGTGTGGCACAGTGTCCCCAAAGTGTGCAGCTGTCGGCGCTGTCAATTGGCTTTAAATGAATAATGCAGATAGCATCTGCAAACGAACAATACGAATATATATAATAAATAATTTTTTGATTTATGCATATTATGGGCATGTGCAAATTAAACAAAATAGCCCATACGAAATAGCCCCTCCGAGCACTGCGGCTCGTTTGACCCTGACATTAACAGGCTTTACCCTTTAGCCGGCTTTAATGTTGCCGTGTCTCGCTGCGGCATAAAACACGTGCCCCACATGCACGTTGTTGACCACACAAAGGCGCCGCAACTGCAACGGAGTCGATTGAAACAATGGGCCTAGCAGGTGCCCTTTCCGTTTGCCGCCTCCCCTTGCCGTGCACCACGTTACGTATGAGTAATCCGGCAAGAACTGCCGCTAGCAAAGCTAATTAAAGGCTAAACTCCATGACCACGACTACGGCATGACCTTGGTCGCCAAGTCGGCTCTAGCCTCCAGCCGTTTGTCAACTGACGTCCGTTTAGGCCCCAGTCGAAGGATATTCTTGTTTGGCCTGGCCAAATTGTGTGTGTTTGTGTGTGTGTGTGTGTGTGTGTGTGTGTGTCTTTTGTAAAAATTGGCAAAGCATTTAATAAGCAAATGCCACACATAAATTCCGGAACACTTTACAGTTGTTCGCTGAAAACAACAAAAACTATTTACACTGAAAAAAACTGTACCTTAAATTCGTATAAGGGTTTTATATTTATGCATGTTTATACTTGTTTGTTTTTTTTTTTTAATTGTTTTTATTTATAGATTACAAGTGGAACCGCTGGCAGGTGGGGTAAGCTGTCGCACAGGTAACACACGCTTTTAATATATATTTTCACTTCTTTCTTTGGCAGTTTTTGATCCGTTTTTCGAGTGTATAAAAAGTTTACAAGTGAAGGACAAGCCCTAACTGTTAACGCAAATGCCAAACACCTGATAAAAATACCGTTGCTAGACCTGCCAACTGCAGAAATGTTTTGTTTTATATGTTTAGTTCTTACTTTTTATGGCTAAAGTTTCCTTGGAAATGGGCGCATCGAATAACGATTCGCGTATCTGTTATAACAACCACACCAACACACACACACACACACACACAGACACGCACTCACACAGCGATCAACACCAAGCGTGGTGCGAACTGTCAGCAGAAAATTGTTGTGAAATTGGAACTGGAGCTGGAGCGGGAGCGGGAGCGGAACCAGGAGCGGCAACAAAAGCGTGAGGCGCACTGGCTGGCGTCATTTCTTTTGTTTTTTTTTTTGCGTGCTGTAGGGCTTGCGTGATTCATGATGCATGGGCTGCCAGGCAACTTATTTGCCAACTCCAATGCAACACCCAGCGTTTTTGGCGCGTCTGTATGTCTGTTTTAATTACTGGAACTGTAATTGTCTGACTGTAGCTTGAACAGTTTTGAATGTCGCCACTTGACGCCAATAAAAATGTCAATCCACGCACACACGCACACCATAGTAGCGACCTTGGGAAGTAAGCCCCCTTCCCCTCCTCTGCCGCCCTACATCATGGCTTGTGCATTTTAAATGGCCGAAAAATGGCGATTAAACTGATTTTCGGCTGCCTTACAGCTGTGCGGCGTAAACAAAACAAATGAGCATGAGCATAGCGGAGTAACAGAGAGAGAGAGAGAGAGAATGAGAGAAGGAGAGTATTGAATGGAGAGCACAGGTAGTGGGGAATTGTTAAGGGGGGATCTGTATTGTCTACTTATTCTCTCTCTCTCTCTTGCCGGCGACACGTGCACGGCGTGATGGCGGCGCTACGTGGCGTATACGTATTGCGCTGACGCCGTGGCCATTTTGGCAAATGTGTTGTGAAAACGCATGCCAAACGTGAGCTGTTATTGTTGCTGTTATTGCTCGCGCTGCCGCTGTTGCTGTTGTTGCTGCTGCTGTTGTTTTGGGGTGTACAGTTGCGCTAAACAGCGCAGCGTGGCCAGCTTGAAAGCAAAAACGCAAAAACAAAAACGCGAAACTCCCTAACCCAACTGATGGAGTCAGACGGGGGTTAGAGTTAGCGGGCTGGCGACTCGTATGCTTCTGGCTGCTATTGCATCCAGCAACAATGCCGACAAGGCACTCGCTCTCATTTCGCAGAGAGAGATTGGCACAGTGAGTGTGAGAGCGCTAGCAAGAGAGGGAGAGCGAGAGTGAAAGAGAGCAGCCGCTATGCGATGGGCAACATGTGAGCGCAAAATACAAACACTAATGCAGTCGGCATTTAAATGTGCTGGTAACATGCATAAACAACGCGCAACGCAACGAATATTTAATGCACTTGCACCAATCATGATTTATATGGGACAGCCATTCATACATTTTATGCAGACTATACTACGGAAGAGAAAGAAAAGTGGAAAACAAATGCAAGTTTTGTTTATTTCTAATATTATTAAGTATTCTTATTGTTTATCTAATGTACCAAAACGATTTTTTTAACCAAAAATAAATACATCTATTAGAAGGGCATGCAAAGTATAATAAAATAAAACCTATTTAATAGTTTCAAAAAAACCAATTCGACCAAAAAGTATGCAATAGAAATTCTAGGTTGAAAATTCTTTTTTGTTTTTGCCAATGGAAAACTAACCCCCTTTAACTGCATCAGAAATCACAAGCGCATAGGTATAAACCAAAAATGCAGGTAGCAAAAAGACGAATTTTCCATTCACTTTAAGGGATGCACCGTGCGTGGCATATAGTTCATCAAAGTCGAGCTGTCTTGAGCGAGGGTATCGCAAAACAAATCGCCAGAAAACACGAGACGAGGACGAAAACGCAGACGAGAGCCGACAACAACAAGAACAGCAACAAAGATGTCGGCAACACGACGTTGACGATGTTGACGACGACGGCGACAACGTTGCCACGTTGCAGTGCCGATTCGCAACAGACACGCACACACACATAAATATAGAAACTTGTGGCAACATCTGGTTCTGCTCCTTAGATTCAGAATCAGTTCGTTGTCGTCAGTCAGTCAGATTAGTTCGGTTCTCTTGCCAATTCCAAACAACTCTTCCAAAGGCGCAGCACACAAAGCACAGCCCACAACGAATTAGAACGCACTGCGAAAAGGGCAACAGCGAAAAACAACAACAACAGCAGAAAAGTTTACCAGAACAAACCAGAAGCGAAGCCCAGGCCCAGAGTTTTAATACAACAGCAATCAAATTAGACGCATTCAATTTCTCTCGGACTCTGTGTGTGTGTGTGTGCCGCGCGCGTGTGTGTGTGTCCAAGTGGCGCGTCCTTGGAGCTGGGTCTGGCAGTAAACAAATAACTGAAGCCAAAAAGCAGGCGCCGCACAAGGATACTGTGGCTGGCCAAAGCCAGCACATATGTACAGCCCGCACAACTGCAGCAAGAGCAAACAGAACCAGAACCAGAACCAGGCCAACAACAGCAACATCAACGCAGCAGAAAATCAATTTTCGTGAAAATACATAAATCGCAAACCGAAAACAAGTGAAAACGTCGCTCAGACAGGCAGACAGACATACAAATACCTGCAAAATACCAACTCGCCGCAATACAAACATAAAAGTCCCTCAGCGTGTATAGTGCGTGTGTGTGTGTGTGCGTGCGTGCGTGTGTGGGCGCAAGAACAACAACAACAACCAGAAGAAGAAGAAGAAGTAGACGAAGAGAAGAAGAAGCGAAGAGCATTACCATCTCCAACTACTGCACGTCCGCAGCCGCCATGCTGGACTAGCACACGCCTGTTGTTGTATCTGCCGAAGATACACACAATACAAATACAAATACAAAAAAAAAAAAACAACAACAAGAACAACACACAACAGCAGCAGCAGCAACAGCAACAAACAACAACAAGAACCAACAAAATAATATTGGGCTTGCCTGGCTGGTTAGGCCTGTCTGTGGAGGAGGTGCAACGGGGGCAACAACACACAAGAGTCGCAGCAGCAGCAGCAGCAGCAGCAGCAGCAAAAACAACACAGTCTACACAACTTTAGTACTTTTTGCACACATATACAAACGCATACACACATATATATATACACATACATATATCTTCTCGTAAGCCGTAGCAGCTCTTGCTCTGAGCAGCCTGCCGACATCCTCCATTCATAAAAGGCCTAACCAAACGACATGAGACATCAGTTAAACACAATTTGCAATCTATAAATATCTAAAAATATATATAAATAATATCAAAGCTCCGCACCAGGCAACTAAGGAAATAAACTAAAACAAAATCAAGCACCCAACATTTTGAATACCATCAATTATATAAATAAATAAAGAGCATCTGTGATTCGCATATAAAAAAAAAATAATTATATAAAAAAAAAACGTATTTTCATACTGCACGTTTTTTCAAAACTAAATAATTCTAAAAAAAAAAACAAATTTATTTAATAAATTAAATTAAACTAATAACACACTTTATTATTTGCCATTAACAAAAAGCACATAAAATATTAAAATTCAGCTCAAATATTAATTAAAGCAGCAGGCTTTGGGCTTGGCAAAAACGCAGCAAACGCTACAACAACAACAACAGCAGCAGCAGCAGCAGCAACAAATACAACAAATTCATACAAGGTCAACGGATTTAATATTTTTTGTAAGTGCTTTCTTATACATACATTAATTATCTTATTTTTTTTCGATATAATTTCTGCATTTCTTTTTAATGCACCGCGTATGTGAATCTGCACATGTGCATGTCAATTAAAGACCACCGATTTCTGCTCGCCCATGAACATATTTCTATATCGAGTGTGTAAAAGAAATAACTTATAGATTTATGTGGAATTTGGAATACCCTTTAGGTTCATTCAGCTTAAACCATTTCGAAGAAATTTCTTTTCAAAGAGTTAATACCATTTAGACACATTAGAAAAATTAAAGATGTATGTTGAATATGGAATACCCTTTAGGTTCATTCAGTTAAATCCACTTCTAAGAAATATGCTCTTGAGTTACAGTTGGGAGATCTTTAGCTTACTTAGCAAATAATTCTTCTAGGTACAGCTCGAACCTTCTGTGCTCACATTTCTATAACTATACATTAACTATTCTTAGACCTTTGAAATAGTCTAGGAATATACATTTTTGTAAATTTTCTAAAAACTTTATAGTTTTATTCGTTTTTGTTACAACAAAGTACATTTAATTTTGATAAGCCAACCTCTCAAATCGAATTTAACCAAATTTAATGCAAGACAACCTTAGAGTTACCAAGTGGTGACTAAAATCAATATAGCCTATTGTAAGGGTATGGAAATGAACGCAGCATAGGCAGAGCACAACTGTAATTGGGGCAAAAACAAAATTAATTGGCTGGCAAGTGCGACGCTAGCTGTGGGCACAAGGGGTGAGGGGGGCGATTCGCCTTAGACTTCTGGGTAATGTTAACGGGATGGAACTATCGGCGAAATCGAAATGTACTGCGCCGCGACACCCGCTGGCTGCCGCTGCGAAATGTCAACGGTATTTTTAACGGCTACGTAAACAAACACAAAGGCTGTAATATGAACGAACGGCAACTGTTCGAAGCGGTGTCTGGCAACAATGCATTAATCCCCCCCCCCCCCCCCCCCCCCCCCCCACTACCTCGTCCCAGCCGCTCTCTGCCTGCATGGACTGACATCAGATTAGAAATGCTTGGTATTGATTTTGTGCCATAAGCCATGCACTCTAATCCGGCTGTCTCAGCCGGATGTGCAAGTGCGCAGACACATCTTGTCCAGCTGCTGTCAGGTCAGGTCCAAGGCTGCGAGCACAAACATGAATTATCTATCGTTGGTTCCGTTCACGCCGTGAACCATGCGTCCCTGGTTCATGAACTCAGATTCAGGCCCGAGCTCTGATTCGGCACAGTTGCCATTCACTTGGAATTGCACCAATTTATGACAAAAGATATATGTATGTATGTATATATATTTTGGATTACATTTTAATTGAGTAGTGGAATCTTTTTATGAAATTCGGTTTGAGGTTCAGTTGAGTGTAAAAACTAGCTCGAACCGGTTCAGTTCACAATTGTTTTGCAGCCTCGGTCAGGACTAAGCTGCAGCTGCGTGGCCATAAAGAAATCACACACACACACACGCACACACACCCACTCTTGTAACTACTTGCATAAGTATTCAAGAACACGACTAATACTAATACTAATTTCCACATATCCGCCCGGAGGCATTAGCTCTTACATATTTGCAGCATGTTGGGCGTCGCCTCGCCCCGCCCCGCCGCGCCCCGCCTCGCCTCGCCTCGACACAAATAGCTGTAATAAATAGTCATAGTAACCCAGTAAAACAACGGATGCGAGTAATGATATTTGCCGTTAAAGCCAATCAATCACATCATCAATCAGTCGAGTAGTCAACTAGACAAGCATTTCTTTTTATTGTTAGTCAATCAACAAAACTAAACGAAAAATGTAACAAACAAAAAGCTAACTGTGTTAGCAGGTCGAGTTTATGTCTACATATTTACAAGGCGCACAAAAAACAAACGAATTTATCAAATCTCTTAACCTAACTTGAATTTAAGCTCAAATATTATTTAAGAGTCCTGACTGATTCGTTTTTTTTTCATATCTCTAGCTGCAGCTTTGAAAGTTTCAGATTCCGCAGAGTCATGGTAAAAATAATTCAAAAAAACTTAAAAATAATCAGAACCCAACGAAAAATAAACAATAGCACCTAAAACCTGGCGAATATGAAAACAAAATGTTATATAACAATCAATATGCTGATCAGAAGAAAGAAAGATTCGAACCAAATTGGTTCAAACCCGTTACGTCACCTTCAATTATGATGCAGGTTTTTACTTCTATAACCGTATATATATAACCGTATATATATATATATATATATATATATATATACTATTATCATATATGAATATTGTTATTATTTCCTTGAAGGACATTTCTTTCCTTCGAAGCCAACTGCTTATTTGTGGCAATAGCTCATTACAAATGTGGCAAAAGCAGCTAAAATTGCTTGCAAATTGGCTCAATAACGGTTGTCCTCACATACGACACGTAATTCTCGTCTTGGGAATGGGCCTTATATTATATTAGCCAAAATGACAGCATCATCATCAAAGTTGTCATCCGCTATTGCTCGGCTTTTTTATTTCGCATATTTGATTTTCATTTTTTTTTCTTTCGTATTTTTTCTGTAATCCATTCCTTTGGCCTTGAGAGAGGCCAGAACGTGGCCTTCGTGCTTGTTATGTGTGTGTGCAGGGGAGGGGGAGGGGGCAGGGGCAGAGGGTTGTCCAAAAATAAAAGCCCATTGCACTTATACTTAGACAATAATTGAGATTTTTTTAAAATGTACTCGTATTTGAAGCGGAAATAATGGCATCTGCATGAAAGCAGAAACGTAATTATTTTCTCGTTTGCATTAAATATGTTGAAATGAGCGTATGTTCTATATAGAGGATATATATCCTATATATTCTATATTGCGTAATAATTTGTATAATCCATATCCGTTAAAAAGAACGCAAAGTAAAGAAAATAGTTGAAGGCTACAGGGTATTTACTGATCGATCATAATTAGATTGTAAATAAATTTTATACACCATGCCCCAATACAAAGTAAAGGAAAAAGTTGAAAGGTACAGGGTATTCTCGGGTCGAAAGTAATGAAAATAGTTATAGGCTACAGGGTATTCTCTGGTCAACTTAAGCACTCTCATGCATAATAATTTGTATAGCCCATTAAATTCAATTGAAAGTACAGGAAATAGCTGAAAGAAACAGGGTATTCTCTGGTCGAGCACATTCTACTTAAGCACTCTCATGCCCATTAAAAAGAATTGAAAGTAAAGGAATTAGTTGAAGTAAAAAATGTATGTCACGCCGCTGTGTACAGGGTATTTACTAGTCGAGCACATTCAGTACTAAGCACAACCGAAGATCCGCCATTAAAAGCGAGTATCCCTTTTAACATTTATTGTATGTATTTCTCTCTTGCAGAAATGGAAATCATTCCTGAAGGTAGACACTTTCGTTTGGTGCATGAATCAGAGCTTTCAGAAATTTTGGTAACTTTAGAGCGCTATCTGCCGGAATCATTAAAGGTATGTCCCGGCCGTAGCTGCCACTTGAAATGCACACATAAATATTGGCCGTACAACTTGACAGACACGCCCACACAGCGCAGGTAATTTAAGCAACAATTACCTGCACCAGGGCCAGCACAACAACTGCCGGTAGACCGCACAGACATGCAATCCATCAGCTGACCTCTTTTCACAGTGTACGTCCGATTCAGTTCAATTTTTAACGACCTCGTCGCCTGCTCCGCGCCAGCTCACGTGTAAACTCAGCTGGTAAACTTTTCAAGAATTCCAACTTCATTGAAGTTGGGTGTCGTTTAAAGTTTCCATTTGTTGGGCTGTGCCTCACACGTCAAAGCGAATACTTTTGGTGCCTACTGTGCTTAAAGACCTTGCCTATTAAGTCAGCATAAAGCTCAAAGACCTTGCCTATAAGGTCAGCCGTAGTCCCAAGAAGTCCAAGTTTAGTCCACCTTTTGGCACAGTTGCACCCAAATTTTCAATCAAGTTCCTAAAAAGGTTCTGATTCTGACTCCATTAAACTTTCAAGTTTATTTAAAACTCATTCTTGTATCTTAAATACAATTTGACAAAAAGGTATCAAAAAAGTATTATCTAAAATGAAGTTCAAGTTAGTTTAAAAGACTTGACATATTCCAAAGAAATGGTCCAATTTAAATTATATATATATTATATCTGTCGTTCAACTGACATTCGATTTTGAAAGCAAGCAGCTGAGTGTGACCATATACTAGTAATTACATATTGCCAAACGTGTCCGTTTTATGCTGCATTTCACAACACTGAAGTAAGCAAAGTTAGCGCCAATTTTGAAAATGAATAAATGAACTGCAGAAATAATTTGCTGCTGGTGAAAAAAAGAAATGTTGCTAAAATGCTCGCAGCCCATCGACTAGGATATTGTTATTTTTTTATAAAACATAAAAAGAAACCCTTAGGAAATGCCTTATCTAAAATTCTATACAGATATTAACTTTTTTGAAAATTTCCTTTACAGTTTCATCAAACTATTAAAACGTACCTGAATGATCGTATTTGGGATTTTAAGTTTTATGTTGCTAAAGATTGGCCCGAAAAACCGATAATATTACATTTTCCAGGATGCACGCTTACGGTAAGTACATACAACTTTTTTGTTCTCTTTGCAAAATGATCACTTAATTAATAATTGCATCATATTTTTTTGTAGCCCCACAACAATATATACCAAACATTTGGTATATTTTGTCCATCCGCACAAATCGAACATGTCGATCTGATGCGCACCGAAGATGTACTTATAGATTGGCAGAAGCCATTGTACCTGAACTTTACGCACATCGCTATTATGAATCGCCTGGATGATTTCTATTCGAAAATTGGTCTAATGGAGCGACTGAGTGGTGATATCTATGTGTGCAACAAGCTGAATACGGAACTGGAGCTGGAGCCCCTGCCCGAGGATGCGGAGATGCGACTGCTGACATTGGACAATGTCCAGGGCATACACGATCTATATCCGGCCAATGAAATCGAATGCGTCAAATTATTTGATATACTCGTCCGTGTCCTGCCCGGTTTGGGTATATTCCGTAAGGATACCAACGAGCTGGCCGCATGGATGGTCCATTCATATTATGGCGCTATGTTTTCGATGCAAACACGTCCAGATTATCGACGCATGGGGTGAGTAATGATCGCAGTTGGGTGTCCAGCTTGGCCAGACTCTCACGAAACTCTCCGCTTTCCAGTTATGGCATCCGTCTGGCCAAGGCGTTGACTCAGCTCGTCATCGAGCGCGGCTACACACCCTTCGTTGTCATACGTCCACAGAACGATGCGTCCAGGAATCTATATACAAAACTGGGCTATGTCAAGGCATACGAGACGTGCCGTGTGCGTATGACACCCGATTGCTATGAGGATAGCACCGTGGGCACCATAAGTAACACATCCTATGCCAAGTTTCCGCCACTACCTCAGGGCGAGTGTGTTGTTCCGTTGCGCAAGCATGTGCCCGGCGAGAGTCAGACTGTGGACGACGAGGGCATCGAGGATATGTTGGCTGAAAAATGTGATATCAGCAACGAAGAGGCTAGAGAGCGTAAGACCACAACTGATGAGGGCATCGGAGAGGATAAGTAGAGTGCGGCTCAAAGAGCTGACACACAGAGAGTTACAGATTGATTGGAGCGCTACGCATATATATATATGTATATGGATATGTATATGTACGTAAAGTTGTAAGCACCTAGACCTAGGCGCCCTATAGGGGGGAGGGTATGACGATTGTACTTATTCATATAACAAATTATAGCAAGGCACAAGTGGCGTTAATTTTTTAACAATTATATAAAACAACAACAACAACAAAACTAAAATGAATATCTACATAGTATTTACATGCATGTATGTACGAGTATATTTATAGATGGTATATGAAGCTTCCTCACACAAAGCGCAGCGTGTTTTAATACAAACAAACAAACAAACAAACAACAAAAAATTGCTAAACGAATGAAGAATGTTAGTCGGAAAGGATTTATTTTATATATATAACGAAAACTGAAGAAAGACAACAAAAGCCTAAATGATATTCTACGTAAAGAACTTAAAAATAATAATAATTCTAATAATAATAGTAATGGAACACGCTGTTTATGATGGTCAGATTTTAGAGATGAACAAAATGAAACTTTTTAATTTTTTGCTATAAATGCTTTTACAAAATGAAATCCAACAATTGTCATGAAAACGGCTCAGTGCGTACAACAGGAGCGTATAAATTTATTATAAACTATTATATTAAAACAAAAAAGTATATATATATATATATTAACTCTATATATCAAATTGTTAAAAAAAAAAAAAAAAAACAAAAGAAAAAACTAACACAAACAGAAAACAACTAGAACAAACATAAATACTTCTCTCTGGCTCCACGCAAACTCAGAACAGGTAAAAAAAAACAAACAATTTTTGAGCTAGAAAACGGTTTTGGTACTAAATGTTTTATGGCAAGGGCCATGCGCACAGGCTCTCACTTTATCTAAGCTATATATATATATATATATTTATTTTAGTCTCAAAACTAATTTTGAACATAGATTTGCGATGGCCCAGGCGAAATATTGCTTTGATTTTGAGAGTATGTTATTGTACTTCCTGCGTTTGGACTTATAGGCTTTTTCAAATTTATATATACCCAATCAAGATGGACAAAAAAAACCAACAACAAAATATATACATATATTTTATTATTACGAAATTTTATTAAAATCTATGCGCAAATGAGTACTCTCAATGATTTTTGCTCCTACATGAGAAATATTATGAATAACAATATTTTTGATCCAAACTAAAGAAAACCAAACACGCCAAAGATGTCTTCTGCTTTATTTTAAGTACTTAACTTATGCATGGGTAAAAGAATGGCAATACGAACTCGATTGCACTCGTATGGAAACCCCAATGTTAAATGCCAGTTGCCTTTGCCTATTGAAAATCAATTTCCATTCTGAAAACTCAAAATATACGCAAGAAAATCAAATTAAAAACAAACAAAAAAAAAAAAAACACGACAACGTTATATATTACAACTGCTATAATGTATGTACTCAAATTAAAAAAAAAAAAAAAAACAAAACAAAAACTGAAACAAGCAAATTTAAATAAATACCAATATTGAGACAGCAGAAAGGTCAACAACTTTTTTGTCAGTGTATGCACAGATAAGAAATGCGTTTAGATAACGAGCCAGAATTGCGCTCAAACTTGTTGGCTGATTGTTAATGAAATTTACGTGTACAAACACACACAACTGCGCCAGTTGTGGCCCTGTGTTAATTTAAATAAGTTAACTAGATTTATGGTTTGTATAGTCTAAATGTAGTATGTATTTCTGTATCAAGAATGTCTGCTGGGCACGTGTACATAGTCAAAAACTAGGAACAACTATTCTCTATTGCTGCTGCTTCGGGTTCGAGGGCTTGCTTAGCTGGCTCTTCAAGTGCGCCGCCACATACTGCCAGTATTTACGGCGTATAACATCATGTTTGCTGGCCATGTCATTGCACATGGCGTAGACCTTCTCGGCGCTTTCATTGTCGTTTCGTTGCAGCGCCTGCTCCTGGTACAGGTCGATTAGAAAGGCTAGCAAATATGGTGAACGATTGCCCGCATTATACAATCCCTTGCTGAACTCCACCACCTCGGGATGGCTATTAAGCTGTCCAGTCTCGGTTTGCCGCAGCACTCCCACCAAATAGTTCCACGGGCTTTCATTGTTCTTAATCACACGTATGCGATTCATAGCGTACGCGAGCTCCCGTTTGATTACATCCGGGGTGAAACCTAAATGCTTAACCACAAAAAATCGCTGATTCCATGCGGAGTTGTTGCGCGGATCCTCGCAAATCAAACGATCGACAAAGTCCAGCTCGTCGTCATAGAGGCTATCGAATGGGAATACAATATTTCAAAAAGAGTTTTTCAAAACAACAAAGCTGACATACTTGAATGTGCGTATGGCCCATTGGCGATGCTGCCAGGCATGATAGTTCTTGGCGTTGCCATCGTTGTCCAGCGCATTTTGTGTCAGTTCCAGCTCCCATTTGGGACAGTTCATCATTTCGACAATGACGCGTCTGTGATGCCACACCTGATAGTTCTTCGCATTCTGTCCAATTACCTCCTCCAAATAGTCCAGTTCATCCTGTAAGTCAGCCTTCAGTTCGCGCAATATGTCCCTTCTGTACTGCCACACCGTATAATTGGCGGGATTCAGACGCAACGCTTCGGTGGTCAGCTCCAAGGCACGCTGAGACTTTTCGCCCTTGGCTATAATGGCGCGCATGTAGTCAAATACCTCACGAACTGAAATTTGTAAAACTCTTCAATGCGGAGCACCTTTATATGTGTTTTATATCTTTACATTTGGGCCTATACGCTATGGACACAACAGGATTGGGCCCATCGTCCTGCGGCAGCGGCGTCACATCTGCCCACTCCTTGCGCTCGCTATATGGCACCCACTCGGTGTGCAGATATTCCTCATCAGAACTATCTCCCATCCTATCCTATGCGCTTGCAACTGCACAATTGGGCGGAACACAGTTAAATGCTGGCAAAATTCAGATAATTTTTCGTCAAAATGTTCTCTCTCATAGACACACGGGCTTTGAAAATTCAACAGCTGACTCATTAACCATTCACCGTAGTGCGCGTCAATTTGCCATTCACTGCGAATGGCAACACTTGCGATAAATTTAAGCTATGGGAAAATACCTTTACAGCATATCCCATTAACCGTAAGGCCGAAACAAGAGGCAGTAAGAAAATGACACAAGTTATGCATGACATACTCTTATATTTGTAAACCACATACAACTAAATTTCTATGCATACATTGATGGGATGACTGAGAAAACTCTTTAATCCAAAAACCATTGAATGAGAGCATAGAGCGAAATTTGTTTCAAATTTATATTTGAAATAATTACAGCAATTATGAATGTATTTGTAAAGGTTGCGTTTACAATGAGTGGGGAATTTGTCAAACGTATGTTATTTGAATATATAAACCGTAAATTAATTTTGGATATAGCCAATTTGTTGTGTTTAACATCTATGTTTGTATGTAGGTACTTATATACAGCTAAATTCATGAACAAATCCTTAAAACAAGGGTTCGTTCTCTATCTTAACATCACACTCTATCATGGAACTGTGTGCCAGAAATGCGCTGCCATTTAGTGTCCCACCCAGACTATATTTAGTTGAGTCGTGCTCGTGATCATAGTTCGAGGCCGGCGCTGGGATTAGTTTTGGCAAGGCTGTCGCATGGTCTATGTCACGCTGTCCCGGCTGCATATCCTGCTGATTCATCTCCATTAACATTCGACTGACCTCGGTACGAAATTTCATATTATTCATACTCGACAGCGTTTTCACGTGCGGCAGCAAGCTAATCAGGAAGTTATAGTCGGGATCATCTTTGGCAGCTGATTCCAATGGAGGCACTGGCGTCGTCTTTATCACGTTAGTCGCGTGACCATTCAGATATGGTCCATCTGTTGACGACGATGTCTTGCGGCGTCGCGTACGCTTTGCCGCCGGCGCTTTGGGCAGCAGAGGTGATAACAAACGGGGCGATGATGAGCCATGATGTTCGATGTCCAATCTGGCATTCGACATGTTCGATGCGGACATATCGAAGTGCTGTCTATTGATCACGGACATATCCGAGCCGGAATCATGACCCTGTGGCTCGACCGAGTCGCGCTTGAAAATATCACCCATAATTTCAAAATCAAACGAGTCATCGTTGTCCACATCAATGATAAAGTCATCCAGCCTATTTTCCTCATAATCTGCGCCGTCAATGTCGATGTCAAAGGGCACCGGCGAGAAGGGCACCAGCTTGTCCGGATCGAATATGTTGCGCAGAAATTCCAGAGCTCGAAAGTAGGGCCAATTCGAGTGTTCGCTGCGCTTTTGCTGTATCTTGCGTATCTCGGAGCGATAACTGTCACGCAGTCCTTTGAAACGCTTCTTGCACACAGCCACTGCATAATTTATTTATAGATTAACAACTTAGCTGGCTAATTAATTTAGCACTTGGCTTCAGGCTCACCGTCCATCTGCATTATGTTCGCCACTTCCTGCCATTGCAAGGCGCCAACATCTTTGCGTATGCTCAGCTGCATGGTCGAGTCCCATAGAGCGCGACGTTGGCCAACTTCCACGATCAGGCGAAAGTTATCCAATTTCATTTTAAATTTTGGATTTAGCTCGACTGCGCCTGGGACAGCGGATCCGTGCGCGTAAGGGCAAAAAAAATTGTATGGCGTGTAAACAAAAATGCGAGTGCGTCAGGGCTGCCAATACACGAAATGCAGCCGAACGAAAACGCGTTGCCGCGACAAGCGCTGTGTCCAACACACAAACTACCTACTTGTTTGGCTCTAATTCATAAAGTTTCGACAAGTGTACACAAAAATTAAAAAAAATCACACAAATCGCGATCTGTTTACAGAAACAGACACGTACCGAACTCGCACTGCCGCGACTTTTTTAAAGCATAAAAACGCCGGTTGCCAACCCTGGTCAAGCAGCTGCCGTTCCATTTCGATACACTGTGAATCATATGTTCGGGAAACGGCAGAAACGAAACAGAAACAGAATTGAAAGGAACGAAACTTTAAGTTTTAGCTGTGAGTCGTCGTCCGGCTGTTTGAAATAACATTTATTTAATAACTAAACGAGAAGAATGCAACAAAGCGAGGATGTCAAGGATGATGATCTGCCGGCAAATACGCTGGAGCACTTTGCCGAACTGGACCAGGTGCTCTTGCTGATCGACAGCATGAAGCCCATACAGGACGGCGCCTTTGAGCGCGAGTTTGAGCAATATACGGAGCTGTTGTCCCGCTACCAGGAGCAGCCACATCTGCTGGATCCACATCTGGAGCTGCTGTTGACGCGCCTGCTGGGCAAAATACGCCAAGCGGATTTGCCGGCCGGCGAACGCGATGCCGCTTTCAAGTATTTGTATATCATTAGCAAGGTGCGCACCTACAAGGTGCTCGTCAAGTTTATGCCGCACGAGCTGAGCGACTTGGAGTTTGTGCTTCAGTTGCTGGGCCAGCAGGATCCCAAGGAGTTCAGCAACTGGGAGACGCGCTACATGCTCTTGCTCTGGATGTCCATACTCGTGTTGAATCCCTTTCACATGGCCCGTCTGGATGCCTATGAGCAAGCAGCTCCGGCACCCGCCAACAACTGCGTGCTGAGCAACCACGCCAGCCCAACGCAGACTGTTGTCACAGCCATGCCCAAAATGGAGCGCATATTTGAGCTGTGCAAGCTGTACGCCTCCACGAATGACACCTGCAGCAACATGGCCGCCTTCCTGGCGGCCAAGTACTTTGTGCGCGCCGACATCAAGGACTTGTATTTGGAGCGCTTCCTCGACTGGATCATTGAGCAGCATCAGGCGGACACACTGCAGGTCAAGTTCGGCCAGCTTGCTGCCGTTGCGGCCATACTGAAGCACGGCAAGCGCGAGGATCTGCTGCCATATGCCGACAAGCTGCTCCAATGGATTGTCGGCTGTCAGTACAAGGATGTCAATGATTTTCTCAAATACAAGTACTATGTTAAGATTGTGCAGCGTCTGGGCCTGGTGCATCTGAAGCCGCGCATTGCCAGCTGGCGCTACAAACGCGGTAACTATTTCCACGCCAGGCGAACTCCTATTTTAATCACAAATTTCCACTCCATGCACAGGCACACGCTCGCTGGCCACCAATTTGGGCCATCAGTCGAGCGCTGCAGGGGATTCAGTGACGGGCAATATGGAGACCGAGGAGGACGTCGCTGGTGAGGAGATAATTGTGCCCGATTCCATCGAGGAGGTAATTGAGGAGCTGCTGCAAGCCCTGCGCAGCGGTGGCAACGATATACGCTGGAGCGCAGCTAAAGGTCTGGGCCGTGTAACCAATCGCTTGCCCAAGGAGCTAGCCGATGAGGTTATTGGCTCGGTCATTGACATACTCAATCCACTGGAGCCGCATGAGGCCTGGCACGGCGGCTGCCTGGCCATTGCGGAGCTGGCCAAGCGTGGCCTGCTCTTGCCCTATCGCCTACACGAGCTGGTGCCGCTGCTGATGCAGGCGCTCTTCTACGACGAGATGAAGGGCTACATGTCCGTGGGCCAGCACATACGTGATTCCGCCTGCTACATGTGCTGGGCCTTTGCGCGCGCCTACAATCCGGACGATCTGAAGCCGTTTGTGCAGCTGATCTCCTCGGGACTGCTCACCGTTGCCGTGTTTGACCGCGAGATTAACTGTCGACGTGCTGCGTCTGCTGCTTTCCAGGAGAGCGTCGGCCGTCTGGGCAACTTTCCTTACGGCATTGAGATCTCTACGACCACGGACTTTTACTCCGTGGGCATACGCCATAATTCCTATTTGTCCATCAGCGACTTTATCGCCCAGTTTGAGGAATACCGCCAGCCGCTAATTGATCATCTGGTGCAACGCAAGGTGGGCCACTGGGACTCGGCAATACGTGAACTTACCGCCAAGGCGCTGCACAAGCTCACATATCGTGCGCCGGAGTACATGGCTGCTGTGGTTATGCCCCAGCTGTTGGCCAAGACCGACACGATTGATGTGAACGCTCGGCATGGCTGTGTTCTGGCCATGGGCGAGATTACCCTGGCGCTGCGTCAGCTGGAAATGGCGCCGGATTCGAATACCGTATATCTGTCCAATCAGCGCATTGCCGAGCTGAACGAGCTGGTGAAAACATTCCTGGAGCGCAACTTCTATCGCGGCATGAGCGGCGAACTCATGAAGTTCTGCACCGCCAGCTTTATACGCAACTGCAGCGTCGCCCAGCTGCCAGTCAACACCGAGTGCCTAGGTCAGTGTCTAGCCAAGCATGTTCCGAAATTTAATCTCTATGTATATATATAACTGGGTGTTCCGTCTGACTGACTAACGCACAGTCCGAAACGTAGGAGCTAAGAGCCAGATTTACACTGAGATACGGTGTTATTTGAGGCGGTCTTTTGTACAATTCCACTCGCATTTGTGGAAAATTGGTGGGAATTAATCAACATCCGATCGAATATAGTTGTAAATAGTAACTTATTGTATAGTAGACCGAACTGTGTTTCACACTTTTCGCTAAATCCACCGATCTAGGTGAAAATGAGGATCTCTCGGAAAGGCTCTCCTAAGTGAGCAAATATGAGGTCTAGGGTTGAATGGGAAAATTTAATTTTTCGTAAATTTGAGTAGCTTATTTATAATATAATATACTCCTCACAGCCAGCTGGCAGCAGGTGATCGACATTGGCCTGGTCACCAAGTCCAGCAGCATACGAGACGCAGCTGTGGAGGCATTTGCGGAGCTATCGAGCGCCTACTACTGCCTGGAGTCGCGGCACGCTGAAAACGAACGCATTATCACGGCGTATCTGAAGGGCGCCGACAACGATCTGGAGGAGCACATGCGCATGGGCTATTTGGCTGCATTGGGTGTGCTGCCTGCCTTGATGTTGCGCCAGCATCTGAATGCCGTCTTGGATAATCTGGTGAAGCATGCGCTGGCACCGCAGGGGGCGTACGATGATCACGAGAATGTGCAGACCTACAGATGGAGCGAGGCGCGCACGCAAAGCGTTCGGGCGCTGAGCAAAGTGGTGCACACCGTTGGCTACGATGCGGCCGTTCAGGATTCCTTTGCAGAGCGCCAACACTTCAATAAAGTTGTTGAGTGTCTGCTGCAGGCGATGGATGAGTACACGCTGGACAATCGCGGCGACATTGGCGCCTGGGTGCGCGAGGCGGCCATGCAGGCGCTCTACGAACTGGCCACACAGTGTCCCAGGGATATGTTGACCCCACAGCAGGTGCACCAGATTGTGGTTGGCTTCATGCAGCAGGCGGTGGAGAAAATCGATCGTACACGCGGCCTGGCCGGACGTCTCTGCTGCAAGCTGATACACGCCCAGCCAGCCATACCACATATACGCGCCCACGGGCGTCTACTCGAGATATTCCCTAGTGATGATAAGTCCGTTCTCTGGCTGTTCGCCGATCATACATTCCCCCTATTTTGTGAGCTGCTCGCTCTGCCTGACTACTCCAAGCGCGTCTTGCTGGGACTGACGGCCAGCATTGGACAGCTCACCGAATCTCTGGTAGAGTATTTAAGCATATTTGATTTAAGATAGAGATTTAATAACATATATTTCAGATCAAATATGCTTCGTCTGCACTTTTCCAGTTTCTGCGTTCCAATGTGGATATGGTGCCGCGTTTGTGCGCGGAGATTGTGCAGCTCTTTGAGGGGCACCTCCTGAACGAACGCGTCACGTATCCAATGCTCAGTTTCTTGGAAATACTTATCGGCTCGGGCAGCATTGAGGCGGTTCTGCATGATGAATCCAATCCGTTTGCTGAGGACATTTATCGTCTGCTCAATCTGGAGGTTAAGGGCTATAAGAAGCTGTATAAGACCGCAACCAGCATTAGCACCTTTTGTCAGCTGATCCAGGTGCCCAGGCTCAGCAAGCGCGTGCTCTCCAAAATGTCAGTATTCCTGGGCCTGCAGCATGTCCATGTGCGCAAGACGGCAGCGACCAAACTATATGAAGCCTTGGCTCTGCACGGCGATGTAACCGAAATACCCGAAGAGAATATGGATGAAATCCTAACCTTGCTATCGGAAACGGACTGGACCCTGCCCCTGGTCGAAGTGCGTCCACTGCGCAATGAGCTATGTAATCTGATGGGCATTAAGCCACCCGTTAGCGGTGCAGCAGCTGCTGCCAACAAGCAAGAAATTGTGGCAGATAAATAGATGAAGTTTAACTAATGTACTTTGACTTAACTGTTTCACAAAAAATATATAACTTATTATTTCCAAGCACAAAATAAAACAAAAACGAAATTTGCTTGAAATTTAAATTCGAATTCGAATTTGAAATGTGAAATGAAACATAACTTACGGCAACCCTGGCTGTAGAGTTGCGTGAACTAACTGACAGTGTTAGTAAACACCAGAAAACAGTGGCCAGTTTGTAGTTTATTGTGAATGTGTGTGATGTAAAATTGAAAGTCTTACTAATTTCGCATTTAAAATATATATGTGCTAATACTCAAGTCATATTCTCACTGAGATATAATTCATATACCGACAAAAAACACGAGGTTTTTTTTTTAACTTACTAAACAATAATAAATACATACACGTTTATACTATATTGTTACACAAGAAAAACCAATAGATTTAAAAATCTTGTTGTTGTTGCCTGACACACTAAACGAATCGGTATTATGAGCATTTGGAGTGTGAGATGTTTGTGTCACAAATTCTGTCGACAGGCGCATATATTAGCCAACAGACGGATCATACCCCCGGCACAGCGACTTCCCCAGGTGGTCAACGGTAAGTGGATGGATGACAGCGGGTCATCGACGAGGGGGGGAAGGGGCATGCATCCATATGGATGAGGTTATGTTCGCTTTGTAACCGGCATGGAGATTTCAATTGATTTGTTTTCTTTGGCTTTGCAGGCACCAACCGGCCGGCACACAACAGTTTATATCAAATGGTAAAAAAACGTACGCTCGAGGCACGCACTAAATTACAAGCCAATAAATATCCGAATCACAACGCCTGCATGAAAGTGGCCAAAACCGTGGAATTTGTGCCCGATGTCGACGAGGTTGCTCAGACCACGACAGTGTCCAATTTGCAAGGCCCCCAAATCAGCTTCACCGCATTGCAAGACCCACAATTTCGAGTGGTAGCATCCCATTCATCCAATGCATTCTATTCATTTCTTTGATTGACTTTGTGTTCGTCTTATATCTTACATCTTATTCTTTTTTTGCTCCCGCCTCGCAGGGCTATGCCGACACCAGACCCAATTCCACTGCCCAGGATGTGCTGAAGTCGTCGCAGTGCGAGAAGCCGCCCGCACTGAAGGTCGATAAGGGCGATGAACTGGAGGGCGATCCCTGCGCCGAATTCCATCGGCTGCGTCGCGAGACCAGCATGAGTGGCGGCAGCGGCGACGGCGGCGACGATGACAATAAAAAATCCAACGAGGAAAGATTAAAGCAGTTGAAAATCAAATGCTTTCTTGGCGCCTTGGCCGCCCTGCTGGCAGGTGGCCTGGTATGCATATATATATTATTTCTATACTGTTTCCCCACAAATTGTAACTGCATTCTTTTTAGATTGCCTGGCTTATGTCGCGTCGCGGCAAGAGAAGTGGCGCTGGCGACGATGAAACTGCCGACAGTCCCGAGGAAGCGCTGAAGCGTGCCAAAATATCTGGATTAATATCGAGTATGCTTAAGGCCAACCCACGGCATAGCTGAAAGTCCAATATTAATAATCTTTCATTTGCGTTTAGCGCCTCGCAGTTCGGATAAAATTCCCCAGCATGTGCCGTATTTGATCATTGGTGGCGGCACCGCTGCCTTTTCGGCTTTCCGTGCCATCAAATCGAACGATGCACGCGCCAAAGTTCTGATGATCAGCAATGAATATCGCAAGCCATACATGCGACCGCCGCTCTCCAAGGAGCTCTGGTATACGCCCAATCCCAATGATGATCCCATCAAAGACTATCGCTTCAAGCAGTGGACGGGCTCCGAGCGCAGGTGAGTGCAGAACCCGTTGCTAAGCCAATCGATTCCTTATTGATTTGTTTTCCACTCTATTAACAGCTTGTACTTTGAGCCGGAGGAGTTCTTTGTCGATCCCGAGAAGCTTCAAGACAGCGTAAACGGCGGCATAGCCGTCGCTCAAGGTTTCGCCGTTAAGAAAGTTGATGCACAGAAACGCATTGTAACATTGAACGACGGCTATCAGATCGGCTACGATGCATGCCTAATTGCAACGGGCTGTGCGCCCAAAAATCTGCCCATGTTCCGCGATGCGCCGCCCAGTGTACAGGAGAAGGTAATGGTCTATCGCACGCCCGATGACTTTGATCGTCTGCGCCGCTATGCGCTTCAGAAGCGCTCCATAACCATTGTGGGTAATGGTTTCGTTGGCAGTGAACTGGCCTGCTCGCTGGCCCACTACTCCAAGCAGCATGGGGGCGGCAAGGTGTATCAGGTGTTCCAGGAGAAGGGCAACATGTCCAAGGTGTTGCCCAATTATTTGAGCGATTGGACTACACGGAAAATGGAGGCGCAGGGCGTATGCGTGATACCGGATGCCAGCATAAAGACCGCCACACGGGATGAATCCCAACTGAAACTGGAGTTAAACAATGGCATGTCGCTGCTCACCGATATTGTCGTCGTCTGTGTGGGTTGCACACCAAATACGGCCATGGCTGGTCCCTCCAAGCTGGAGGTGGATCGCAGCCTCGGCGGCTTTGTAGTCAATGCAGAGCTGGAGGCACGTCGCAATCTTTTTGTGGCCGGCGATGCGTCCTGTTTCTACGATCCGTTGTTGGGCCGCAGGCGTGTGGAGCACCATGATCATTCGGTCGTCTCCGGACGGCTGGCCGGCGAGAACATGACCGGAGCGAGTAAGTTAGCAAACATGTTTCCGATGCTTGAGAAGTTTGTCAATGTATTTATCGAACTTATCCTGTAGAAAAACCATATCAGCATCAGAGCATGTTCTGGTCTGATTTGGGTCCCGAAATTGGTTACGAAGGCATTGGCCTGGTCGACTCTTCCCTGCCCACGGTGGGCGTGTTTGCGTTACCCTCCCACTCGGAAAAGCGTGCTGATAGTCATATAGACGTACGCTCGGATGCGAGTAGCAAAAATGTATACAAGAAAATGACCGACGGTCCGGACTTGGTATGCGATCCGAACGAGGCACCCAATTATGGCAAGGGCGTCATTTTCTATCTGAAGAACGATAAAATTGTTGGCATATTATTGTGGAATCTATTCAATCGCATTGGACTGGCACGAACGATAATCAATGAGAACAAAGACTATGAGGATCTCAATGAAGTTGCCAAACTGTTCGAGATACACGCGTAGTGGGGCTTTAGGAACGTGGGACTATTCAATTTACAAGCAAAGTATGTAAGTTTAAGTGGACACTGAAGAAATCATCCAGACGCCCAACGCTCCAAGACTTCAGTTTAATGCATGTATATATATATTAGAACATGTGTATATGTAACCAGCACAGACACAGAAAGGCACAATGCAACATAAATTTAGTGTTAATTTTATTTTTTTGGAATAAATAGTTTTTAGTCACGACCAATTGATTTAACATGCGTTGATCTATTGGCCTAACGACTAACTTGAAACCAAATCCAGTCGAACAAGATTGCTTTTAAGAACAAAGTTTTTGTTTTGTTAAGAGAAATGATTATTATTATTTTTATTAATATCTGTTCCATAGTACATAGTACATAAAACATAAATGCTACCAAGAGTCTTATGAGGGCAATGTAGTCCACAGCCTATTTTAAACCAGGTGCACACTGGCACACTGATAAAAAGTATAAATCAAATAATAATAAAATAAAATTGTTAATTTGTAATAAGCAAACAGCTTAAGTATATTTTTATACAAGTTTCAGTCAATTTTCTTGATGTTGTCTGAGTGCATCCCAAGTCAGGCTTATTTTAAGAAATATTTTATGATATATTTAAAATAGTTACCTTTAGTTACATAGAATTTTGAAGTTCTTTTTTACCTGTGCCGTAAATGTCTCGTAGTTTTTGCCTGCTGTCAGTGTAATAAGAAGCACAATATATATTTTGCCGCTGCAGCAGCTGTCGCGGATTAACCCAGGTGACCGCTTATTAGCGGGTCAGGATTAGCGCCAATTGGTAGGTAGTCCAGACACCGCTGCAGCTGCGCTCTGCGGCAGGTAAATCTCACGAGCTTCTATAAAACAAGCACGCACAGCTTTGTGGGTCAACAGTTGAACAAGACACACAGCAAGATGAAGAGCCACCTGATGAAGCAGAAGTTCGAAGCCGAAAAGTTGTCCTATACAAACACCTATGGCGCCCTGGAGCTGGAGGCAGCCGTTGCGCTCCTCATGCTGCGTTATCAGTACGATATAAGTGCGGTGGGCGGCACAAGCTGCATTGTGGCACAGACCACGCCGCCGCCGCCGCCACCGCCACCGGCAGCCGAAACGGAGAAGAGCACGCCCAAGGAGCAAGTGCGTGCCGTTGTGAATGCCTCGTCGCAGCCGCTCAAGAAACGTCGCATACCGCCGCATCTGTTGCGTCGCTCCCTGACGCCGGCCAAGGCGACGCCCAGCAATGTTGGCAACGTGACCAAGGCCAAGCTGAAGGCGGTGCCCGCGGCGGCATGCAACAAGGCGCTGCTCAAGTCGTGCCGCAATATGATACGCGAATTCCTGGACAACCAGGAGCTGATCTAAGCAAACACCAACAAGGCTCCCTAGGAGCTGTGCTTTCGCTTTTATCAGTTTTGATTTCATTTATTTATTGCATATATAAATTTGTTTCACTTATTTTTTTTTTTATAATAATATTTTTTAGAATATTATTTTTTATATATATATCTATTTTTTTTATACATATCATATCGAAAGATAAGGTATTTTTCAATTGGAAGAACAGGTATTGTGGCGACACTAAAGTGCTAATTATTAGCTATTGGCGGTGTTTAAACTTAGGCATTACACGAAAGAAAACAAACAAAATTATATATTAATTATAGTATATATATATATAGATGTATATGTATATAAGTTTATGTGTGTACTTAAATATGCGGCTAGTTAATAATTAATAATTACAGCTTGTATGCAGAATTTGTATGATAATTATAATGCTAAATGTGTGTGTAAGTGTGTGTATGTGTGTGTGGTTCATAATTAATAAAGTGCCTTGAAAATGTACAAAAAATAAGAGTTAAGATCAATGTTTATAAAAAAAGAAATTGTTATATGAACACCTTTTGCTTATGCACTAACAATTAAAAACTAAATACAAGTACGTAAAAATGTTGTGTGTGGAAGCCAATGTATTATTATAAAATATGTAGGTTTTAATTGCCTGGCCAAAATGTTTAAATGAAAAGCATAAACAAACAAAGAAAACGCGGTTCCATTCATTTTCTTTCGTTTTTCTTCGGTTATCACAATTAATTTGTTTTGAAATGAAAATTAATGGCGTTTGAATTTCTCTCCGTGTGTGTATACATATTAATTATAATTAACAATTTCAAATGCTCTTATTTAATTAATTTTATATTAATTTTTCTTTCTTTTTTTTGTTGTTGTATATATTTTCTAACAATTTTGTTTTCCATGTTACGTGAAACCATTTGTTGAGGCAACATTGTAAAGCTCAAAGGTGACAACACTTACAGGCTAAGGTGTGTGTGTGTGTGTTTGTTTGTTTTTTAAATTTAATAATTGTTAAGCTTAGTTTTATTATGTAGAAAAATTGGCACATAACTCTGTAAATCGTTGAAGGCTGCGCTGCGCCGATCCAAAAAAGAAAAACTACTTAAATATAAACAAATTACAAATGTGTGTGTGTGTATGTGTGTGTGTGTGTGCAACTTATGCAAAGATTTAAATGTATAAAATGTGTATTTAAATTAAATATTTAAGGCTGCCCTTTGAAATGACAGACAAAAACTAGGCGCTAATTAACACACACACGTGCGCATAAGGTGTGCGTGTGTGTGCAGGTGTGTGTGTGTGTTGGTATGTACAAAAGGTAATGAGAGAGTGTGTGTGTGTGTGTTGTTGTTGTTGGCTGGTCCCAAAGGCAGCTGCATTTATTGCTCAGGTAAAGTTGTGGGCGTGTGTGGGTGTGGCTGATTGTCATAGTGCATGTGTGTGTGTGTGTGTGTGTGTGTGTGTGTGTGTGTGTGTGTGTGTGTGTGTGCGTGTGTGTGGGTGGGTGGTTGTGCCTAATGCATATGCCTAAATGCCGCCGCCTCATCGCTGCCATTGCATTCGCTGTCCATGGGCACAGGTTGCGACTGCTGCTCCCTTTCCCTTTCCCGCTCCCGTTCCCGCTCCCGCTCGACTGCATCCATGGGCCTGGGTGAGCCGGCGGCGCTGCTGCTGCTGCCAGCTGCAGCTCCCTGCTCGGCTGCCTCCGTCTTGAGCTCCGACTGCTCGTTGTAGCGTATCAGCTTGATGGTGGTCAGGCCGTCGGCATTGCGTATGAGCCTACAATAGAGGTCCATGGTTGGGATTAGCATGTGGGCCTCTTGGGAGTAGCTGCTGCTACTTACGGATAGCAATCCTCGTTGTGGCTGTTGTTGTTGTTGCTGCTGCTGCTGCTGCTGGCGGCGGCGCTTTTGCTGCTCACGCTCAGATCGGTCGGCTTCAGATCCTCGCCAGCGCTGTCGCCGCCGTTCTCCAGCTTCAGCGGATGAAATTGGAATTTGTCGCCGGGCCCGGAGACGGGCGCACCGGGCGTCAGGCACTGCACCCCGGCTGGCGAGCCGGGCGGCTGGACAGCTGTTGCTGCTGCCGCGGCCGCCGCATTGGCGGACAGATAGTGAAAGGCGTGCATGAAGAGCGGCGACGTCGGCTGCGGCCCGTACGCGGCGGCCGCAGCCGCTGCCACAGCCGCCGCAGTGGGCAGCGACATGTTGGGTCCGTTCCTTGAGGCCGGACGCTGTGGCGACTGCTGCAGCTGCTGCTGCTGTTGCTGCTGCGTCCAGCTGGGGCTGGCGGGCGCCTGGCTGCCCACCTGGTTGGGCGTGGGGCCTGGAGCACCGGCGGCAGCAGCACCAGCACCTGGGCCCACCACGGGCGTTGTCGTCTGGCGCAGCTGGGATATGTTCTTGATGTTCTTCAGCTCCGTGGGATTGCGCAGGAACTGATAGCAATGCCGCTCGCCCTGCACCTTGCGCAGAATGTTGACGCGGTAATAATAGCGCAGGGCGCGCGACATCTTGTCGTAGTTCATCGACAGATGGTTCTTCTGGATGCCCCACAGCTTGGCCAGCCCGGCGGGATCGACGATCTTGAAGACGCCCGTGTCGCGGCACTTCCAGGCGATCAGATCGCTGTACTTCTGGTTGCGATCGTTCAACAGCTGCTGCAGGAAGTCCCACAGGAGGCGGCCATCTGTGGAAGGGGATATCGATTAGTACGTTTCACAAGTGATCGATAAATAAGATTTCCAGATCGATAACTAACATGTGGAACAGTTGGCAATGGAACACTTGGTAACATTTGAAATCAAACACGTTTACTTTCGACTTTTAATTTATTAAATAGTTTCAGAAAACTGTTAAAGCTACAAATTGCAACAAGCGGAACAATTGCGAACGGAATACATGGTAACATTTGAAACTGAAACACGGTTACTTTCAACTTTGAATCTAGCAAGTCAATGAGGAAAACTGTCAAAGTGACGGATTCCAACGGGCGGAACAGTTGGTAATGGAACACGTTACCCCATGGATTGCTTTTCAGGCAAGTATTTAATCCCAGTAAGTGTTTACAGCTAAAAAAATTAATATACACTATTATCCAATTGTTTCTATTGCATCGGATATGGAACACTATTAATGGGAATTATTGGTATTGGAACACTTATTTTTGAGAATGCAACGTTACCCCTAAGAATGGAAATGGAACACTAATTTGACTGGAATAGTTGGTAATGGAACACCAGGTAAGGTAAGGTAAGGTAGGTCCTTTTTATATGAATCCAATGTTTCCACTGCAAGCCTTTTGTCATCAAGTGAATGTGATAAATCTTGTTTCCCATTTTATCGAAATATCGATAACAAATATCGATAACTAACAACATTCCGATATCAACAATTCGAAAAAACCTGAAAATCTAGTTTCCCATTTCATTCAAACTTATTTTAGGGTTTTTATCGATAACATATGCCCATGTATCGATAACATGAGCCCATATATCGATAACCAACAATATTGCGATGTCAACAAATCGATTGTGATCTAAATGAATGCATCTACTCACTTGTATTCGGCTCCGAGTTCTCGGGAAAGAATTCCCGCTTGGCTTTGTACATGTAACTGGGCGTCGTCGGGGCCGAGATGGAGCCTCCGCCCGGCGCCAAAACCGCGCCGCCAGTGTTGTCCAGCGTCAGCTGCTGCTTCGATTGTTGTTGTTGTTGCTGTTGTTGCTGCTGTTGCTGTTGTTGTTGTTGCTGTTGCTGCTGTTGTTGTTGCTGCTGTTGTTGTTGTTGTTGCTGCTGCTGTGACCAGGAGTTGACAAAGCTGTTGGTCAACTGTTGCGTCCAATTGGGCTTCATGTCCTTGTGTATGGGCGTGCCCGGAGGACTGCCGGCAGCGCTGTAGGAGAGCGGACCCGTTGCCAGATTATTCGCCTTGCTGCCGCTGTTGTTGTTGTTGTTGTTGCTGGGCTCGGAGTACTCCTCCTCGGAGTCGGAGTGATTGCTGCTGGCACTGCTGATGCCCTTCATGGGCTGGACGCAGCCGTTCAAGGCGGATCCATTGCTGGCCGTGCTGCTGCCGCTGGAGGAGCCGGCGGCGGCGGCGGCGGCTGCAGCGCTCGTCGTTGCCGTTGTTGTACCGGCGGCTGCGGCGGCAGCATTGGAGAGGGCGACGCCGCCATTTTGATAAGCCGCCGGCTGGGGCGGACTGCTGGCCTGCGAGTCGACCGAGGGCGGCGGGCTGAGCGTCACGGAATTGGGCGCCATGAAGTGATGCGCCGCCATGTGGGCGGCGGCGCTGCTGTTGCTGTGGAAGGGATTGCTGCTCTCGGGCGGCGCGTTCAGCGGCGGCCAGGTGGGCGTCGGCGGGTGGCTGTGCGGCGACAGCGGATAACGGCCGGTGGGCGTGACGGGGCTGTTGGGCAGATGCCATTGCATCATGTGCGACTCGATGATGAGCATCTGGAGCACATTGTGCAGGACATCGCCGGCGCCGGGACACCGATGCCCGAAATCGGCGCGTGTCAGCAGGCACAGAGCCTTGCCGTTCATTTGGAAGAGATCAAAGTCGAGCTTGGGCAGATCGAATTCGCGCACGCAGAAGCGCAGAAAGTCGAGCACATCGTCGCGGCTCCAGAGACGCGGATCCGAGGGCAGCGACGGCGGCAGCTGGGTCTTCAGCTCCGCCAGCTGGCTGGAGGGCGGCGGCGGGCAGCGCCAGATGACATCGCTCCAGATGCTGGGATTGAGCGGATTCAGTGATAGCTGTACTGGAAGCATTTTCATTTTGGACATGCAAACGCGCTGTGTGTGTGTGTTCTAATCGAAGCTCAAGCCACAAGATTAGGATTAATCTGCAAAGAGTGAGAAAATGATGTGGCATTAGTTTTAGTTGTTACAGCGCAAGGATGTCCAAAATCACCCTGTATTTAATTAAATACTCAATCACCTTATATATTCACACGCACACACACACACACGCACACGGCGCGAAAGATAGCAGACATTTGCATTCCAAGCAAATCAAATTTCTTCATAAACAAATCAACTCCACAGGCAGCTGAGTGCGTGCGAGCGAGAGAGAAGAGCCGCTAGACGTGAGTCAGAATCAATACGCAACACGCTCACACGCACACATGCACGCTCAACTATTGTATTAGCGGCATTTGCTCTCATTATTGATCTCGCTCTCATACTACACACACACACTCACAATAAGCACCCCCGCAGGAAACGATCGGCATAGAACGCATGCGCTACGTGTTTCAATACAATCGTTCCATCGATACCAAAAACCTTTTATATACAGTGAAAGCACTTCCAATGAACACATACATACATACATACATACATATATTTCTCTCTTAGCCGGCCAAAATTTTCCAGTCTTCCGCAACTCTTTTAAGCGTTCATCTTTCTTAATAGAACGACATTGGAAGTCCGCTGAAGTGAGCTTTCACTGTGTATGTAAATACGCATCGAAATCGAGCTTTTTTAATTGAAAATTGCTCAATATGGTAATTGCCATAAATATGTGCGTTGGCGTTGGCGTCGGCATCGGCATCGCCGCTGACGCTACTATTCCGGATGTGTACAAAGCAAACACCAACAAGCAAATACACACACTACATACATACATATGCATATGTACATATATGTCTGTACAAATCGACAACACATGGAGCAAGGCACACACATACTTATGCATATCTTTGGCGTGATCAGTCGCTGTAAGATTTCAACATAAACGAATGTATTGATGCCACAGCAGTCAAGGTGGGGGTGTGTATGCGGCGGGGAGGTGTGCTGTGGTGTGCTTTACGAAACTTGAAAGCCGTACCCATTTACCCCGGGTCTGGGCCTGGGCCTGGGCTTGCCGGGCATATCACTGCAGCAGCAGCAACAGACAGCGGCGGCGGCGGCGGCGGCGGCGGCAACAGCAAACGGAAGTGCACATTCCATACACAAAACCCGTTTCCAAATCAGCAGCGACGGAGCAGCAGCAGCGGGTGAAAGACGTTGGCGCAACGACGACTAATAAATCCGACAGTGGGTAAAGAGAGCAACAAGCCAATTTTCAAGAAGCAGCTACAGGCGCACCCTGTATTATGGCCGCGCGTTCAGACATTGCCCAGTTGTACACACATGCACACACATTAAAATTTATCTCATCTCGCTCTCAGCTCAGCAGCAGCACCGAAACTTCCTCATTCTCCGGGAAGCATTTCAACAAGTGAGTAAAGAAATTTACTTAAGGTACAGCTCCAATGCGTGCGAGCGAGATGCCAGTAGGCCAACTGAGAGAGCGCCTGAGCAATAAATATTGCTTGCATGCTGCTGCCGCTGCTTGTGTTGTTGTTGTTGTTGTTGTTGTTGTTAAGCAAGAAGCAGGAGAAGACAGGCACAGCAGATGAAAAAGATGACGATGATGATGATGTGATGATGATGATCACTGGCCGCACTGTGGGATATACACATGTTTATTTGTATGTACACATACTATACATATACATATGTATTTTTTTATTGTGTACGTCTTTTACTTAGAGGGGGTCTATTTGTTTTGTTTAAGAGGTGCTGCTGCCCTCTGCTGATTGTGTACACACACACACACACGCACGCATATGTTTGTATGTATGTATAGGCGATCCTACGTGTTATTTTGGTTGCCGCAACAACATATGGTTTAATTTGACTAAAATAAATTCATATGTATGTATATTGTACTACACACATGTTCGTTCGCTCCGAGAAAAACAACAACAACAACAACAGTAACAATGTACAAATAAACATTCAACCAGTCGGTGGCACGTAGTAAAATGACAAATGAATGTTCATCATACCAGAAAGCAACAACAACAGTACAAAGTGAAAGAAGGCAGAAGCAGAACACAAAACGACGCACGCAATGCGAGAAGAATAAGAATATAAATACACGCAAACACATACTCACACATACACTAACATACATATGTACATACATCCATGTGTGTGTATTCTAAATCTCAGTCAGCGAAGATGACAGCAAGCGACGGCAGAGGCGGCGAAGGAGGCGCGGCTTGAAGAACGAACACACAGGCATGAAGGGGGCACCAGACAGGGTATAGGGGACGGGGAGCAGGCAGCAGGCACAGGTAGTTAGGTATGCGGATGATGGCGAACCGGTTTCAACGGAAATTACAAACGAAAATTATAAAACGATCAGTTTAGAAAAATGCCAGCAGCAGCGCAGCCGCCGCAGCAGAGATCTCAGAACAACAACAACAGCAACAAAGGCGACAGCAAATAAGAAATGTAAAAGGTAAAACTCGTAGAAAACTGCACTGCGAAGAGAGTGCGAGCGAGAGAGCAGGCCAAAGGAATGTCTGTTTGTATGTGTGCGTCTGCCTGAGCGTGTGTGTGTGTGTGCAAAAGAATTTTTGCTTGTGCAGAGATTTCCGCTTTTAGCGAAATTGACTGAAGAGTGGTGGAAAAGAGCGGGGAGGGGGTGTGTCTTGGTTGGGCGTGGGATCGGAAATGCCAGACAAGAAAATGGGGCCGTTGGAAAAATGGCCAAGGAAACTGTGCAGGCAGGCGGGCATCCTGTATATAAATTGCTTTCGATAATATATCGATTATTTATTTATTTTTGGTATATATATTACGATTATTTATTTAAACTTGGTATATAAGACGATTATTTACTTATTCTTGTTTCTAGTTCAATTTAAATGCTCAGTCAGCGACCTTCCTATCTAGCTGGCATCCTGTTTATGAAAGCTATTAATAGCTACATATATCAATTAGTCTATAAAGAACTAGTTCCGAACTACGCGAACAAAGGTTAAGTTCAGTTCCATAAAGGAACTTGAAAAAATGATCCAATTGTAAGAAAATCAGTTCACAATGAAAATACCAATTGGTACATTCAAGGAACTTACAATCTATTGCTAATTATATTCGCTCGGAGGTCTACTTATTGCCAAGAATATCTATATTTCCCATAGAAATTCATCGATTTAGTACTCTTAATTTTCACAAGATCTGTAACTCGATAGATCCGGCTTTACTTAGTTATCTTTTCTAGCTAACTAGTTCTAACTGCATTTCCTGCATAACTGTTAATTGCATTGTAAACCTCTCGATCTCTGTCAAGTGCGTGGTTTGTGAACACTTTGAAGAGGATACTCGGCAGACATTTGATCTATCATTGGGCTGACAAGTGGACCCTAGACTATGCGCAGCGGGGCTCTGCGTGGTGATTCACCCAAGTGCAATCGTGCTGCATGCGTTGCAAGTTAATGAGTAATTTCCGTAGGCACATCCTCCCCGGCACAATATGCCCCCCGTCGCTGACGACGCCACTGGCTGTGTGCATCAAGTGGCTGTTGCTGCTGCGCAGTAGAAGAACGCGATGAGAAAATAAGAATAAGAAAAATCTGATAACATAAAAAGGCAGAAGCGACAGCCGCCACGGCGCATTAAGATTAACGGCCTGTTCGTATGCACAGCTGCACAGCGAGAGAGAGAGAGAGAGCGAGAATGGGAGAGAGCAAGAGAGAGAGAGTGCGCGAGGCAACGTCCATGTTATCTACCCTCTCGCTCACGCACTCACAGATGCTGGGCTGTTAATGATGGCCGTAGGACCCGGACACGGACACGGACCCGAACAGAACCGAACCCTGAGCGAGCAGCAGGTAGTCGAGTGCTCAGCAATTGATATAAGAGGCTCGTCGACGGCGGCGGGGGGGCGAGCGGAAAGGAAATGCGTACCTGCGGATGCACTTACATCTTGTAGATACTTCTTGGAATTCCTTTTGCTGCTTCGCTCCGCATGTGTTGCCAGTTGACATTTGATCTCTTTTATGAGCTCTTCTTCTTTTTTATCAGCTGCGCACAATTCTCAAGTGCGACAGCCAAAAGCAACCCTTAAGAAGCATCTGAAGGCTGTCTATTGTGTGGACCCTACATGAAATTCAATGAGCCTAGGGTAACGCACACTAAATACAAATAAACAAAAGTGGTGCAACTAACCCGACTAAGGGTTACCCTATGCTAGGTTGAAAGTTTTTTATTCCAGGTTATGAAAACTTCATTCTTTGATAACATCGGTAAATGTGGTCCGATCGCTATGAAACTTTTAGTCTATGAAGAAAAACCTTTGATTTTAAGTCGTAATGGGAAAGGGTATCCCATATGTAATATATACCTGATGTGGGGCTGAACATAGATAGTTATTGATGCAAGGAATATGGTAGGAATTATCGATATATGAAACTTAATATGTCCAATTCTCTAAAAATAATCCCCTGGACAAGAGCCATACTCTTGCAATATACCCTTCTATTTACCCATTATCAATTCTTACAGGGTATCCAAGTTAGATGATCGTGTGTCTTGCACGTGTGTCTATTATTATATTATGAATATTGGTTCGCCATATTCCGGCATATCAAATACTCAATTAATAAGCACAAAAATTCAAAACCAAGTCAACGACCTGCTTTGCTTTATAACTGCTCCGAGTAGAAAAATAAAAGACAATACAAATACAAATACATATGCAGCGCATATATTAAAGAAACAACAACAATAGACAAGTAAAAATCAGAGCCTAACTCCCCCCGAAAACCCGCTTGGTCTTAAGCAGAGCCACACACACACAGATACAGATTCAGATACAGATATATATAGATATATATGCTATATACAAATAGAGGTTGAGCTGATCGTGCATAACAAGCGCGTGAGCGTATGCTATTGCTGAGCATATATAAACCACAAATATATATATATATATTTTTGTATATGTGGAGAAGCAGAAAAAAGACGCCAATTCCGGGTTCTTCTTCGCGCGATCGCGACAACAGCA